ACCTATTCCTCCTCTCTCCAGTCAGTCTTATTCACACCAGATGCTCTCTCACTCTCTCACTCTCTCAGCCTGGCTAACCATAACAAGCTGTGGTGAAGGTCTTGGTTTGTGTGTGCAAGTACAGCAATATGTGGGTCTTTTTGTTAACATATGTAGGTGTGTGTGTGCACACGCTGCAGAAGGGCCTGTGCTTTGTTGCAGGGAAGCGTTTCCAGACCGTGGGGGGTCTGAGGAGCGCACCGGGTCTTTGCGCCCCACCATGAGTCTACAACAAGCCAGCTCATTCATGCAGCCAGGATGTGATTAAGATTTACAGGTCCAGATTTTGGAGTAAAAGACTGACTTTCAGAAAAATCTGGGTCAGAGGTGGACCCGATGAAAGCCAAATTGGGTCGGCAACTCGTTTTTGGAGAGCTTGGACCGAAGGTTTACAGTTTGGTACGGCTTTCGAAACAGTTTATGATGCTACATTAGCTGTGGCAGTTGAGGAATAAAGTTTTCCTCTTGACTTTCATGTCTTGTGCTCGTAGATTTTTTTATTTTTTTGCTTTTTCAAAAGAAGCACCTTCATTTTTTGAAGTGGAAATGTTGCTTCAAACCTCAAGGCCACTATGATGCACTCAGCCTAAAATCTAATAATTTTATTAAAATGTATTATTTTATATTTTTCAAAGTTTTTAACAAATTTAAGCTACTGTATACCATTTTTTTTTAGCTAGAACGCTTTTTGGCCATTTTGTGTTTTTATCATAATTGCTTTTATTTATTAAATTATTTATCCTGCTGCTGTTTTTATTTTTACAAGATTTTTTCCATTCATTTTGAGAATATTTTCAATTCATTCTGTTTTGCATGCGTTCGGTCTAGTTAATTCACAAGGTTTTAGGAATTAACAGTCCCCTCTCATCCTTCTTATTTTTTTTTTGGTCCCTCATGTAACAACTGCTCCAATTCCACCAAAACCCTGAGAAACACACAAGTCTTTGGACTCAGAGAATCAGATGCAATTATTTGTTCTATATTTAGTCTCCCCGGGAGAGAGCCCATGCAGCCATTACCCCTGAACTCTCGGTTATTTTGTTATTATTTGCTCGAGTCCTGGTTGTACCGTGAGAGAATAGCTGTTTGCTGGCACACGTAGCAAAGCGGTCAGCTGTGGCCTCGGCCCATCTGCCGCTGGGATCGCTGCTCTCGCTGGTTGGGTGTGCGACGGGCAGAGCGGATGATCGCAGAGTGCTAAAACTCAGCGGGACATCCAGACCTACATGAGCTGATCAGTGGGTATCGGCTTTCTGCTCCTCTGCAGGAAACGGCATAATACTGTAACAGTGCAGATTGCGTTTCTGCCAGCCTCTCTGCCTGTTTGCTTGTTTGTCGGGCTGTCTGCGAGCCTCTGTGCTCTCTCTCTCTCTCTGTCTCTCTCTGTGTGTGTGTGTGTGTGTGTGTGCTGTCCTTGGTTGGCTTCTGCAGAGCAGAAATAGGCCAGACAAAATTAGAGCTGTCACATACTCAGGGATGTATAGGAGGCTTCTTTGAAGCCCTCAGATTGGCTGAGGGAAGGCGGTGACAATGCAGAGCCCGGGATTAGAGAGTGTGAAGTCCTTATGCCGAAAAGAAGCGTCTGTGTGCGAGTGGCAGATAAGAAGCTGCAGATTTAAGTGCGCAGGCACGTCTGTGTGAGGTGGAAGGGGTTTATGAGAACCTGAAAGAGATGATCTTAACTGGAAAATGAGGGGATATTTTGGAGTCTGACAAACTCAAACCTCATGATGTTTTTGAAGCGAGAGAGGGAGAGAAAAACAACCACACTCAACAAGAGAACCTATGTATTATGGATCAGATTAACCCACATCCTGACATCCCTTTAGTATCTTTATTACACACGTACAGTGCCTTGCGAAGACAAATCTTTTGAATTTCTGCACCTTTTTCCTCGTCACAATTGCAGATTTCAATGCATTTTGAATTGAAAGGGGAATTTTATGTAATGCGCCAGCATAAACTAGGTCATTATTGTGAGAAGGAAAAAGAAAAAAATATGGATTTAAACATTTTCTGAGAAAAACTAAAAAGCTCCTTTTTAAAAAAAAAAAAAAAACAGAAGAAGAAATCCAGCAGAGACACTACCTGCGTTTCCATTACAAATGGGCACAAAACTTTGATTTTATACTAAAATTGACAAAAAAAAACCATAATTGATCACGACTCGTGATGAGAAAAAAATTTGTTTACATTACAGCTGTGCGAAATACACTAATTTTGTTACAGCCTAAAAACAAAATTGCTTTGTTTCCATTAAGAAAATTTATGTTTGTAATTCCAATATGCACAATTATTTGGTCAATGAAAACATAACAATCAGGTGTTGACTGCTGTCAGTCGTGCACTTGACAAATCTGGCCTTTAGAAACGTGCTCTGGTCAAACGAGACCCAATATTGTTTGCTTCTTATCCACTAAACAAAACACTGAGGCAGAAAGCTTTACCTTGTACTCAACATCTTTTATCATAAAACATAGTGGAGAGAAATATGTTGACTTTCCAGCAGGAAAACAATAAGTGCTTCCACTTCACGACTTTGCACCGCTCTGTGTTGGTCCGTCGCACAAAAATGGGAGAGCGTTGCCGTGGCAGTGACACCTTTGCGGGGGTCTGTGCTGCACTAAGTGCCGTCTTCAACTCCTCTGCTTCTTTCTCAGTCCATTTATAGACTAAAAAAAAAGAAGCAAACATTAATACTGGATTAGTGCGTCCTCTCAGACTTCCTGTCTGCCGTCTCTAGCCATGTCTGTCTGTGGACAAATATGCACACATGCGGTCGTGTTCCTGTCACTTCGCTGGATATTAGGTTGACCCACTCTGGAGACGAGCTGCGACTCTAATCAAAGGCACTGCTTGTTTGGCTTGCATATATTTACAACAAGGATGTTTGTCATCGGGTTTACGCCTAATCTAAATGGTTTCGTAGCAGATTCATTTAGGGAGTTATACGCAAAAAGAGCTGAATGATTCTCGAGTGAAGAAAAGAGAAGAACCATCCAATGCCCAGTGGAGGGGCTCTAGTGTTATGGGTCATCCGGGTCTTTAAGTGCTGCTGGGAAATGCAATACCGTCTTCCAGGCAGTCAGGTGACCAGCGGCTACAGTCATGTGACCAGTAGATCGGATCATGTGATCGCAGCTGGGGAAAAAGAGCAGAAGAAGAAGAAAAGAATGGGAGTAAAGCTTAGTGGATGATTTGTGCTGTCGGCTGCTAATGGCTATCATCAGGAGAAGTGGATGCAGCGGCGGCGGCAGGATGATGAAGGGATAAGCTTTTTCAGGCTGTCTCTTCCATGCACATGCATTATTTCTGAAAGCCTCGGTGTGATTCAAAGCCCCTTAATGAGCTGGAGAGTGAATAAGTCATATGACGGAGGCAGAGCTCTGGGTTATACAGTATGAGCTCATCACCTCGGATATCCCTCTAATCTTTGAGGTTGCTCACAAATTTTTCTGAAAGCTTAAAAAAGCATTTCAGAAGACTCTGTTTCCCTGAGCTGGTTACTGAGCTTTTTCAGTAATCTGGAGGCGTGTGTCATTTCTTTTACCTCTCGACAATAATCTGCTACGTTCTGTTGGTCTATCAGTACATTCATTGAGGTTTAGAGTGAACACTTTGGCAAGACACAGTCCTGGAGATTTTCTCAAAAATCAGGGAATAAACTGTATCTTTGAATCGCTCAAGTTAGAGATTTTCTCTTTATCTCACATAATCCACTGGATGCTTTTTTTAAAACGTTTAATTCATTCAGCGTCAGCCGACCCTGTTGCTCTTTCTGTCTTCATCTGTCTGCTGCTTCCCTGACGTTTCATCCTCTAAAAGGGTCACAGACATTCATTGACATAAAACATTCTGGATATCTGTACAGTCAGTTTAATCATTGGTTTTTATGCTTTTAAAACCTTTTTATTTATTTATTTTTGCCTAAATCTGGTGCGGTCTCCTTTCACCGGCTGTAGGAAGTCCATGTTTGGGATGCGGCTTAATAGTTTGGAGTCGCTGAGGTTATCACGGCTTTATTTGCACACAAATCCCCGCAGAATTGAGGATCCGTCACCTTTATTCTACTGTTGTTAGGCAGCAAAGATTACGTTTATTTCCGGGCCAGCGATGTGCCGAATGTGTCATTTAGCAGTTTAGGACTGATCTGTTTTGTTCAAGCACAATGGATGAAAGCAGGGAAGCACACACAGGCGTATTTTAAACACAAAAATCATCCTAATTCAAACAACTGCTGTGCCGTTTTTTACTTTTCCTGATGGGTTTTATCCTTAATTTGGTCATTTTCTCCTGAAAATTTCAGTGATGTCTAATCTAGATTTCATTAATGCATTTCTATTCCTTTGCCTTGCCTTTACGCGAAGCGAGTCATTGTTCATTCAAAGGATGTTTTTCATTATATTCATAAGTGTTTCATAATATTCACCAGAGCAATAGTTCTAGCCCTCATCTGACGTTTTGTTTCCGAATAATCGCGATGATGAAATAACATCTGGCAAAGGATACGGCCACCTATCTCAACTTGAGAAACTAGTTTGCTATAAACAGTCTAAGCAACGTGTTGCAGCCTGAAGGAGGCAGAGATGATGGACTTTTTTAGACTCCCTCTAATGGATGTGTGTGACTTGAAGGTAAAAGATCACGTTGATGTGAACAGGCGAGAATCACTTCTAGATCTTTATTTTATTTTTGGTTCCGTTTGGATGCGGCATTAAAACCGTGTTGTTTTCGGTCAAACAATTGACTCATTTTGTAGAAAAGTCAGCTTCTCCTCTTCTGATTATCTCTTCTCTGTGAAAACTTCCTTCCCCTGGATTCGATTGTTAATTGCAGTCTCTATGTTAATGTCTCCGATTTGACATAAAAAGTCTTGCAATCAGATTCCCGTCGTGCGTTGCTTGTATTCGTTTGCTTTGCCTCCTCTTTACCAAGTGTCCCTCTCTCTGCCCTGTGTGCAGGACCGTAAGCTGTCCAAGTCGGAGCGCCAGCGGTTCAAAGAGGAAGCCGGGATGTTGAAGGGTCTCCAGCATCCTAACATTGTCCGCTTCTATGACTCCTGGGAGGGTTTGTGCAAAGGAAAGAAATGTATTGTTCTCGTCACGGAGCTCATGACATCTGGCACGCTGAAAACGTGAGTACAGGAGCCAAAAAAAGGAGTTTTGTAATGCACTTTTACACTTTGCGCTTTGTAAAATTACTTAATCTTTCCCACATTTACGCTGTATATACGGCATGCAGTTGTTTTCTTCCCTCCCTCTGAGCATGTACTTTGTAAAACCGCTGTTAGTCTGTTGAGAATTTGCAGAAGTAGAGACAGAATGTCTTACAGAATGTAAGCTCTGGACTTTGACTAGGCCACATGAGTGTCCTATCTAAACTCAATGTGAATACAAGAGACTTGCCAACACTAAATGCTTCTCTGTGCTGATGAGAATCTGTGAACGTCATTGTTGCAAAAAAAAAAAAAAAAAAAAAAAAAAAAAAAAAAAAAAAAGGCAATAAGCTCGCGCCACATGGTGCATCGTGGGACACGGTCGGCCCACCTGCCAGCTGCTGCTTCTGCTGCAGATTCCTCTCATTCCTGGTGTTGCTCCTCTGTGCTGGGGGTAGAGGAGCGCCGATACGCAACCAGACTGTTACAGTTTGAGGGAGACGAAAGAATCTCTGAGAGATGCTTGACGTAAATTGGAAAAAAAAAAAAATGCACAGAGGGGGGACGTGACAAACCACTGACTCACCTGTAACAGAGGAGGCAGAAGTGTTTGTCAGAGCACTTTTCAGGAGAGTGGCGCCCTCCGCTGGAAGACTTCGTCCTTAACGAATGCAGTCTGTGCTCCAGTTTGAATTTACAAACTCATATTTATTATACACATCTTTGCTCTGCAGCTTTTGATGACGTAACATTGAGTTTCTTGATGAATGAAAACACGTACTTTGATATATAGTAAAACCAGAATGCACTCCCATTTACACTGAAACTTGTGCAATTTTTTGCTTAAAAAGTCCCCAGTCAACATATCATCAAGATTAAAACTTATTTTCCACACGCAGCTAGCACTTTGGTGCGTTTACGGACAGGATGAAAGCGGTGCAGATGCGTTCTCAGAAAGGAGAGGTGCTGTGCTGTGCTGAGGCAGTGGAAAAAGAAAGAGAGATGGTGGGGGGGCAGGTGGGGCAGATAGGGAGGGAGAAAGATGGTGAAGATGGAAATCCTGACCAGCACCGCAACAGTGCACGAAAGGAACTTTATAAATCCATGTGGATGTGTTTGTAAGAAAGGTTTGTCCTGCTGTTTCCTTTTGCTGTTTATCAAATATCACTACAGTGCCTTAAAGGTGACAGACCTATCTGCGTACTTGGGGTTGTGTGCTGGAATAGCAGCGAGTTTGAGCGACTTTGTGTGGGAGAAAAGGCTGCGCAGTGTCACTTCAGAGCTGCTGCGTGCCACAGGGTTTAACTCGTCTGTCAGCGCCGCTTTGACTCCAGAACGGGGGAGAAATAAAGCAGAGGAGACGGGTGAGGGGACGGGAGACGGAGGGGAAACGAGGTGTCATGTTTTCTGCGCGATATGTGGGAAGAGGAAATAAAAGATGAAATGAGGGAGAGAAGGCAGGTCCACTTTTTGTGAGGCTGTTCACTTGAAGCTAAGTTTAATTTCTCAACATTTTCTTTGATTTTTAAAGCACTTCCTGTAAAGAACTAGCCACAGTCTTCTGGCCTTATACATCAGTGTTTTGCATTAGTTTAGTGTATATTAACATGCGACTCGAGAATTTAATGAAAGTATTTTTATCACTTATATAGCAACTTGCAGTAAGCCAAAAAACGTAATCTGTTTTACATATTTTACTCTCACGTTGCAGTAAATGCAGTAAATAAGCCAAGATGCTCTTTTAGCGTATTTGCACCGTTACCTTTGTAAGGTAGCGATGCATCAATGAATCCTCTAGTCGCCGTAATCGAAACATTTTTACGTTTGACAGCGAACGCACCGCGTCGCCACCATGTCGCAGTGACCACACTCTTCAGTGTGAAAGTTGTAACTGAATGTGTATTTTTAGTGTCAGTACGAATTTTAACGAGATTAGAGAAACGGATACAGGCTGTTGTTAGCAATGCTAACCACATAGTTCATGTTAAAAGACGGTCTCCATAGTAACATTGTGCTTGGTTTGATACAATAGTAAAATCTTTCATCATTCATCTTTAATTTTATCGTATTGCCTTGCTGGAGATTACATTTTCAAATGTACAAAATAAATGTGACAAAATATAAAATTCATTTAGATTCAATACTTCCAACAAACTTATTAATTTTACTGGACATTACTGAGGAAATAATTGCTTTGTTTTATGTTGGAAATGTATTTTTGACATTTCAGTGTAAACTTAATCCCTGGCCATGACATAACAGTGCTTCTGTCAGCATAGATGACAGCACATTTAACTTTTAAAGTTCATCATTTCTCTAATGTTGTGTTGCACCATTTCATACCCATATCCGCATTATGTTCAACTCAACAGTTCTTTTAATATTTGCATTAAAATCATAAGCTGTACTGCAGATAGTAATTGTTAATGTATTTCATGACTTGTTTTGCTTGTTTTACTAGCTTGTGATTTCCTGACCAACAGTTTTTAGGCCGTTTCTCATCAGCTTGGACAGATTTGGAGCTGGAGGCCATCAGCAGCTCTTTCCTGGAGTTTTTTTTTTTTAGCGTAAGGAAAGAGAATGGATTAAGCCTGAACTGGGAATGACCTTATAATAGATCAGAGATAAGATTAGTTTAAGATGCAGAAGTTACTTTAACAAATGTAATCACTGTAAATCACGGTATTTTTTATATATATATATATTGTAATTGCTGTTTAATAAGGTCATTTAAGCAAATGGGAGATCTCCCTTATCATTGTGCTATTTCAAATCCTTCTTTTGGAAAACTGCAAGAAACCTGAATTTAAATGCTGGCGAACAGACATGGCTGAAAACCGATGGGTCATTTCTCGTTACAACTCTTTAACAGAAACAGTAGCAATGTGCTGTAAGCATCTGAGTTGATTTACTAAAACTGAAAAACCGTTTCAGCTTTAAGGTCGAGTCTCTCCTGTGCCGTCGTCGGGTTTCCTCCCTCTTTCCAGAGCCGCGCAATCCAGGTGGATCGGCGCGTCTTAAAACACCCGCAGGTGGCTCTAAAAAAATGACTTGGCGGCCTCTCAGTGGGTGTCTCCCTTGTTTCACCGCAAGGTGTGTGCTGGGAGAGGCTCCAAAACCGTTCATGTGCCAAACAGGAACAAGTGTGTAGAAGTAACGAACCGGTCTAAATTGCTTTAAGATTAAAAATGCAGCAAAGTGCACAGTAAACGACTGCTTGTTGTTCTGAGTCATCACAATTTAATGGGTTCGGAATAAGCAGCACGGGAATTCCTTGCCTTGTTTGATAAGGTGCAATGAATGCAGTGAGAGTGAAGGCCACCTGCGCTGTTTAAAACCAGATTAGGAGCAGCTCTGGCGACGTGGGTCTAAATGGGCTTCTGCCGTCGCATCGGAATGATGAACGTTTTGTGTTTTACGGAGACGATGTTTGGATCCTTTTCCTTTGAGGAGCTCGAAATGTAGCCTTTCTTTGTCGGACCTCAAAAGAAAAACGGAGCTTTTACTTTTCAGCTTGCGCTCATGCAAAAAAAAATATGTGCAGGATTGCGCTTCTGTTATTTTAAAAGTTTTAAAAGTGCACATCTTTCTTTCATTTGTCTTGGCTTGTTTTTTTTTTTTTAATGTTCTGTATTTAAAGTCTCTCCATAATGGAGAGCTTTCACAGGAATATTTTGTATTTACGCTGCCTCTAATTTCACAGGCAGGGGAATTAATTTCAATAATGGCCATTCTAATTTTGAGTTTGCGCACAATGATGGGGTAATTTATAACGAGCTGCTCAGGCCTGGACTGTCTGACAAAAGTAAACGGCGGTTATGTAAGCGTTATATTTTATCTAATGTGTTCTGCTCCTCTGTCTTTATCGTCTGCAATGCCAAACCTCGATTTGGACTCATTAATTTTCCTGTTTGTGTCTCTCCAGTGTCGCCCTCAAAAATGTTTTTGGCTACTCAAACACAGATTCCCCCAAAAAATATATAATTGAAAACAATCGAGCTGTGACTTAGCCGACTACAGTTGAGGTTAAATTTGGATTTCAGCTCACAGACGAGACGGATTCGTGTCATTTTGAGCATCTTGCTTCCTCTCTGTGTTCAACAGAGCGTGACACCGTTTCTGATTTCCCTTTCAGCTACCTGAAGCGCTTTAAGGTGATGAAAATCAAGGTCCTTCGCTCGTGGTGCCGGCAGATCCTTAAAGGTCTCCACTTCCTGCACACCAGGGCCCCGCCCATCATCCACCGGGACCTGAAGTGCGACAACATCTTCATCACGGGCCCCACGGGCTCTGTGAAGATCGGAGACCTGGGGCTGGCCACGCTGAAGAGGGCCTCCTTCGCCAAAAGTGTCATAGGTGAGGAAAAACGTTCGGCCCGCAGAACAACAGCCGACGTTTTTAAGGGAAAACGGCCTGCGTAGTTCGCAGGAGTAATACCTGCTTGAAATGCAAACATCTACACACGCACATTAATTTTATTGCTAGGTGTTAAGCCGAACCGCAGGTATTTGGAAAAGTACCTTCAGCGTGTCTGCTGGTAGGCTGTCTGAGGACGTAAAGAAAATAAAAGCCTGGCTTGTTCTCAGTTGAATAGCCATGTTAGCTGACCACAGGTATTTTCTTGGTGATGGCTCCGAATTCCTTCTCCTTTCCTCTCCACCTTTAAGCGAGGTTCAAAAATTGTTTGTAGTAATTACTGAGACCACGTACAACTTTTTGGTTTGTTGCATTTTTTTTTTTTTTTTTTTTTTTTTTTCTAAATTGCATTTTACTACCTGATTTTGACTGTCAGGAGTGCGAGCGGTTTTTTTCTGGGATATTTTAAGAAATATTGTGGTGATTCAGACATTTAAAGTTCTGCCTGTTTTTTTATTTTATTTTTTTTTTTTTATTTTGAAAGGTACCCCTGAGTTTATGGCTCCTGAGATGTACGAGGAGAAGTACGATGAATCCGTAGACGTCTACGCCTTCGGGATGTGCATGCTGGAGATGGCCACCTCCGAGTATCCCTACTCAGAATGCCAGAACGCGGCGCAGATCTACAGACGGGTAACAAGTGTAAGTCTCTGCTTCCTCTCAGCTCCTCCGTCGAGAGTTTTGCTGCACTTAGAGGTCGGATCCGAAAGATCTTGTCTTTTTCGTCTCACATCTCCGTCCTGTGCCCGCTGTTTTCCCCTCCGCGCTTGTTTACTGACTGTATTAATAAGTTTGGCATGAGCTTCAGGAGATTCGGTCATATGATGCTGTTTTTTGCTCTGATTAGTCCTTTTGTGCACTCTCCCCTCTCACTGCAACTCTGTTTTATTTTGTAGACTGAAATAGAAGAAAGTCGCAAAAACATCCAAGGCGATCGTGTCGGGTCACGACAGCGTCAAATTAAAGATTTGGACCTCACTGCTCGAGTTTATTTTTATTTACTCTTCTATTTCTGGCATATTTGTAGCTTAAACGGGCAAGATTTTTGTGTAGTTTGTATGGAAAATACTTGTATTTCTAAAAATCCATCCATCCATTCATCATCATTTCCTCTGTCCAACCATCTTTCCATTTGCCACTTTGTTCATCCACCAATCCAGTTCAGTTCGAATCAAAAATACATTATTACTCCCAGTGATAAATGAATCGCTCAGTATTCAATCTCTCCCTCTGTTCAATAGTCCATCTGTCTTAGATCAATACACCGACTGTTCATCTTATTGATCTTATCTACTCCAGTTTTCTGACTCATTTGAATTTAAGGTTTAATTTTAAGAAACAAAGGTAGACATTTGAGATATTTTACTGTGTAATGAATCAATAAGATGAGTTTCAAAAATATTGAACTCTTTCAATAAATTCTTTTTTTTTTTTAGCTGTGCTTGCAAAACGACATTAAATAAAAGCTCTTTGATTTGATTAAAGCACAGGAGAACGAGGGCAGTGTTTCTTCAAATGTTCAGTGTTTTTAATTGAATAACTTTAATAATTATTATTGATGTAATTTGTTTTTGTTGCCCTCCTTTCAAAATGCATTCTGATCATTTCAAAGTTTAATTTCAGAAACTGTTTGACTTAGTCCTTGCGGTTCCCACCGCTTCTGTTTTGCTCGCACATTCAAATTGAAAAGATCCAGATTTAGATTACCCGTAGCGCTTCGAGAAGACAGAACCCGTCTCCCTGTCCCGGTGTCCCCTCCGCCGCCCTTCCCTCTCGGTTCGATTTAAGACGCTACACGAGCAGAATACATTCAGACGGTGTTGTTTTAGATCTGATGTCTGGCTTCCAGCCCCAGCACATTTTTGGCTTCCTGTTCTGTTTATCTCGCTTTCAATTTTTCACGAGTTCACCAAAACCTGATTAAGTTATTACTGCGACCCCGGCCCTGGTGATAACTCGGCCTGTTTGTGTGGACGTGGTTGTATAATAGCTTCCCAGCAGACGGATCTCATATACTTTAATCAACATAGCTTTTTGCAAAACACAACTCCCAAACAGCCGACTTTAGTTTTTAAAATTTACTGCCGTGTGTGTGTGCGTGCGTGCGTGCGTGCGTGCGTGCGTGTGTGACAACACCATGTGATCGCCGTAGGGCGCCTGATCACCAGCTTCCCTTCGTTTCTCGGGGTTATCCAAAGGTTAGCAAAAGAAATACTTTAGGTTATTGATGATTTTCTTAAGGGTTTCGTTGCCCAAAGAGTTTTGCTTTTTTGGAAATATTCATGTAAATGACAAAATCTCTGAATGCTTGTGAGCAGGATTTCTCCGGACTGGCAACCTGTCTTGCCTCTCCAGTGTTTTTTATTATTCTTAACTGCTCCACATTTTCTGCTCTTTTACCTAATATTTTGCATCTCTTGTAGAAAATGTCCGACAGAATAATGCAGCCAACAGCATGTTTAACTGTACGGCTCCTCAAAGCTCTTCCTCAGCCACACACACGACCTCCCCACTTCAAATCCGAGGACATTATATCTACCGTCTAAAAATTGTTCCACTGTCTTTTGGCTTTTATCCAGCCTGTTATATAAATGTCCTAACAAAGAGATGCCTTCGGTTAGCGCAATCTATAACCTAATAAGAGCTGCACCGATGCCACAAATGATTAAAGCAGTTGTGAAGGATAAGTGGGGAATTGAAGAAGGATGGGGGAAGTCTTCTCTTGCAGTTCAAAATAAATCAGAAAACTTTGAAAAAGATAGGGTGGTAAGGGTAAGATGGAATGGATTGTTTCTAGTTGCTGCTAATATAATGTAGACCTAAACAACAGCACATCTCTTGTGATTACGCCACAATTTTTCTTACCTTTTCACCTTTACATTTCCTTGTCAAGCTTTTATTATTGCACCATATAAAGCTGATATCTGATATCTTCTTTAAAAACCTTTTACTACTCGGTGAGCTCATTCTGGCAGATATATCTTTTTGTGTTGCTGCATTAGAACTTAGCTTGCCTTTTTACAGTTGCTTTAATTCTTTATGGCTTAGACTCAAAAAAAAAAAAGCACCTAAATGTTTCCTCAGAGATTTTGATTCATGTTGACATGATGGCATCACGCAGTTGAAGCAGATTTCTTTTTCTTATACGTCCATAAAGTCCAAATCTCTGGCTGCTGTGGAGACCGTTGAAGTACAGTAAAGTCATTTTCACGTTCAAAATAGCAGCTTGAGACAATTTGAGCTTTGTAAAATGGTGTAAAAGTAACTATAGCATTTTTTTTGTATCTGCTGGGAGTTTGTAGTAAAAGAAAAAAAAAATCATGCAGGTTGTGAACAAGTAAAGTAACAATTTTGTTACCTAGTTAGCTGTATAGCGTGCAAACACGAACTAGCTTTTTGTACAAACTACATTTTTGTGTTTGTTGTAGTTATTTGCTTTGTTTCTTTGTATGACTAATATGAAATATATGAGAAAAAAAATATAAATTTTACTATAAATATATGTTCAAGATGCTAACGTTATATGTTTTGTTTTGTTTTGTTTTTTCAGGTAGCAAGTTGAAATAGTTTTCTGTTTTTCACTTTTCCTGAGAGGTTATGTTTTGTCTAAGAAACTAAATGATTGTGTTGTCTACTTTTTATGACTTATCTTTTTATACCTCGTCAAACAATGTTTTTGCGATTTATTCCTTCTTGCTGAACATTCCTTCCTTCCAGTTAGCCTTATTTAACTAAAATCCCTCCCTTCTTATACCAGACTTAATGCCATTACATCGTCCATCAGTCCTAACTTTGTTTGGCTTCGCAGTGTGTGTGCGCGCACGCGCGTGTGTGTGTGTGCTTTTGTGGCACACAGAGATGGTGGGGTTGTTATTTCATGGTGAAGCAGCAGGGAGGCTACATGCTATGAAAGAAAAGAAAAAGGTGAAGGGAGAGGAGAAGGATGAATATTTTCTGGTTTGAAGGTTGAGTTGATCCCAGCTTTGTCTTCATCAACTCGTTGAGTTTTTCTTTTGTTTCCATTCACCTCTTTAACAACATAATTGGTAAGTTGCTATTTTGACAAATTTTAAAGTTGTCCACCCTTCCATAGATTTATACTTTTTTTTTTTTTTTTTCTTTATTGTTTGAGCGTTTTTAAGAGTTTGAGTTACGTTACATCATCATTAATTTCTGATACTTGACATGTGCACCTGATTCCCAATTATGTCGATTTAAATTATTTTTTCGTGGAAAAAAAAAAACTCTGTGCCAAAACTGTCCAGAAAAGAGTAATAAATTGAATGCATTTAATACATTATTTACTATTCTTTTAAGGCTTTCATTTGGAAAGTAGTTTCAGCTTTAGTTTTATCTTGCTTTATTTTTTTTAACTCTTACTTACTCATTAGTGGATTTTAAAGTAATGTTCAGGTAATTTAAAAAGCTAACTATGTTCCTAGAGGTGCATCAATATGGTTAGTAAGGTCAAATAAGGTGAAATATAAAATATTTATTGGTTTATATTCAATTTTGAGTGTTTTAAATGTTTCCAGTCATATAAAAAGTAGTTGTCTCTTCTATTCGGCAGTACAAAGTTTACCTACGTAATCCTCTATTATGCTCAAATTGTTTTGTTTTCCATCTCTCTTCCATTTTTTTCTTTTCCATTTTCTTTTTCATTTTTGTTTCTTAAATTTCAACCATTTCTTAATTTGATTTTTTTTTTTTAGATTTTGTTCTATTTTCTTTTTTATTTTATAGTCTGAGCTTTAATTAAATTTTTTTTCCACCCAGGAAGCCCATTATATTGTTTATTACTGTTCAGCCCCAGCCGTCCTATTTGGTCCCAACCTCTGAACTGGAGCCCTGCTGATCATGTCTGTCGGTGTTACATCTCGGATTTGGTTCTTGACTTCTTAATTGCTTTTTTGGGGCCCGCGGTTCATTATTTTCCTGTTCGGCTGACTTTGTGTGGAATTTGTCCTGGGGGTCAAACTTTTACCAGCTAGTCTCTGACACCGCAGGTCACCTGATCAAGAAATATTTAACCTGAACACCGAATTCAATTAGCTGACTCGGTTAAACATGTGGGTAGCAAGGATTAGATGTTTCAAAAACACAATTCAAAGCTAAAAACATTATGTCCAGAGATGAAAAACTAAATAACTGCACATCTGTTACGAAGATGAAGAACTTTAATTCTCCCCACATGTATATCAAATGGTGGAAAATGTCAGTAAATTTGACCCTGCAGAACAAAGCTGCATTTCACTTCATTTTCTCCCCGTTTTAATGTTTCTGAAACCTTCCTTACTTTCATTGCTCTTATGTTTTTTTTTTTTTTTGGCGTGTGCAGGGAGTAAAGCCTGCGAGTTTTGACAAGGTGGCCATTCCTGAGGTGAAGGAAATTATAGAGGGCTGTATAAGAACAAACAAAGATGAGAGGTGAGTCACAAGGACAAAAAACCTGCTGCCTCCAAATATGGATTTCTTTTCTTGACATCTGCGTGCTGGAATTTTATTTATTTCTTGTGGGGGGTTTTTTTCTTTCTTTTGTCCCGTTCTCCCTGCTTTCATTCTCTTTCTCTCTTGATAAAACAGAAATAACCTGCTGCTTTCAAACTAGTAGATTTTTAAATGGCTTTATGTTTTAATCTTTCTTAACGGCTCTTTTGTCTCCAGGTATGCCATAAAGACCCTGCTGAACCACGCGTTCTTCCAGGAGGAGACGGGAGTCAGGGTTGAACTTGCGGAGGAGGAGGATGGGGAGATGATTGCTATCAAACTTTGGCTCAGGATAGAAGACGTCAAGAAGCTCAAAGGCAAAAAATATGGAAACGCATCAAACTTAGTCATAAGGAAAGCTCCTATCTGTGTGTAGGAGCTTTCCTTAGAGGCCTTAGAGTTATTAACTGAGCAGCACTATTTCACACCTTTATAGGCAAATATAAAGAAAACGAAGCCATCGAATTCTCCTTTGACCTCAACAGAGACGTACCTGAAGATGTGGCGCAGGAAATGGTATGTCCGCCCTTTTAAAGGGAGAGGAATAAAAAAGTGAATCAAGATGCAGAATATGCACGATGGAAATCACCTCTGTCTTCTCCCAGGTTGAGTCTGGCTATGTCGCCGAGGGTGACCACAAGACCATGGCCAAGGCGATCAAGGACCGCGTGTCTCTGATCCGAAAGAAGAGAGAACAGAGGCAGCTGGTGCGGGAAGAACAGGAGAAGAGGAAGCTGGAGGCAGAGAAACGGCAACAAGAGGCTTTCAAAGCTCCACACACCCAGGTTTGTTGGTGCCTTCAGATAAGATGTAACCCTGTTTGAATTATATGAAATAATAGGTTTTATTCTTACATCTTACTTATGATGCTTGCCTGCTCAGTCTGTGAACTACTATAGGTGGATTCAGGGCACAAAAACACAATTTAAACTCATCCAACCTTCAAATTTTATTTCAAAAGCTCTGAAATAAAAGTCTCCTATTCCAGTAAATAACCTTATGTCAATAAAATTTGTCTTCAGAGCTTAATTTGTACTTGTTTCCAAATTTGACTAACAGGCCCATTAGTCAAATCCTCCTCCGTAAATAACGGTGGCCTAATGGCCAATAACTTTCCATTAGCCAGTAGCTAAAAGAACACATCGCCTTGATATATGTCGTCAATAAATGCAAAGAAATTAAAGGTCGGATACTTCAGAAATGTTTTTCGTATGAGATTATGTTAGAATAATGTTAGTGTTTCATGCGTCTTTCGTTGAATGTACTTGACGTTTACTTGACTGTATCTTGTGTTTGTGTTTCTAGTCGAAGACGGAAGAAACGGAGGCAGAACAACTTCACCATCAGCAGGCGGGCCTCTCTCACACATGTAAGACTGGGAGCTGTTTCACAAACCTAGTTTACCTTTAACTTCCATTTATTCTTGCTAAGATTGATGGTCACTTAAATGAAAATTAGATTTATCCAACAAAAAAAAAAAAAACAAGCTGGGTTTAATTACAAGAAAATTTTTAATAGGGTTCAATTTGTGATGGATTAAATTCTAGACAGCTTGCTGATAATAAAATATGCAACTTTTTTTTTTAATTTGACTTTAACTTTGTCCAGCTGAAGTAAAGCTGCAGCAGAATAACAGGAGTTTGCCTCCATGTCTCTGATTTTGTTTTGTTTTAGCTGAAGGCGGTTTGGACAGCGGACAGGGCTCCGCGGTTTTCTCCTCCGACTCCCCCCACCTGGGTCAGCTGACCATGTCTTACAGCTGCCCCCCGTCCTCCCAGCCCCCCTCCCAACCCCAGACCCCGTACCCCCAAACCCCCGCTGCCGCCTCGCAGCAACACCCAGGCTACTCCCAGCCACCGCAGCCGATGGTAAGTACCGGCTCCCTGTAAACGCCTCACGGCGGTCACGTCGCATCCGTGAGGCGACTTTCTGCTCACAGAAACTCGTCCGGTTTGAAGTGAGCACTCTGGGTGTTTTGGAGTGAGCTGGAATGACAGTTTTGCTGTGTTTTGGAGTGGGAATGTGGATGGTTTTCTTTTGTTGCACCAAATAACCTTATAGACCTCAAAAAGCAGCATTTGTCCACTGGTCCACCAAGATGTGCAATTTGCAATCTCTAATCTAATTTAAACAGGAAAACAAAGTTTGTTAGATTTTCCACATTTAATCCATCAGTCAGGTAAATACAGTCAGAGGTTTCCTCTAATAGTCAGACATGAAGCCGGTTATTCGCTTAGTTATCCAGCTGATCAGGCCATTCACTTTTTGTTGAGTCAGTCATGCTTTCCTGCACCCCTCTTTCCCACAGTCCTGCTTTCTGATCAACCACTTCTTTCCTCCTTGAACTCTCCATGATATCCAACAAGATACGTAGACATTTCAACACAGTGTTCACTCATTTACATGTGAATTTAGTTGTTTGCCCACCTATCGTTACACATTCTCCGACAAAACGTTGATAAATGATTTTGTTTATGCCGGCACCATTTTTTTTTTACATTTTGGAGCGATACAAAAACACACTTCTGTGTATTTTATTTGAATTCTAAGATCAGTGCTAACTAGCACACGCTTGTGAAGTGGGAAGAAGATAATTGGTTTTTCAGCTTTGTTTATCTGAAACGTTCACCATGCAATCTTATTCAGCCTCCTTTAATTCACCCAGTCGGGGTTGAGAGCTGATTGATCCTCACAGAACATCTTTAACCGATCAGACTGAGCGTGAGCCATTTAGGCCAACATAATAAACATTTCCAGCTCCAGATAAGAAAAACTGATGAGGCAAAACTCAAGCGACCAGGAGTTGCAGCAGAAGGTGGTTCTACAAAGGTTTTAATTCAGAGAGACTGAAAACAAACTCACGTTTTTGAAAACCATGCATTATGTGTCTTCCATTTTACAATCATGCAAAATGTTTTATGTGCAATTATGGAGTTTATTTCCATCTGTGGGGTTAGGGTCTTAATGCAGCATCATTTCCACATCCAGATTTATTAATTTTTTTATTATAATCTCCTTTCCTTGTTTAGTCAGTAACAATGATGCAGATCAGTTCGGTTCCTTTCTTAACGTCTCTTTCAGAGTAGCCGATGGACTTATGAGCTACATCAAACCTCTGATCAGCCTCGGATCTGGTCTGATTTATAGAAGAAAAAAGAAGAAAAGCAAGAACTGCTCTGACGTAGTTCTTGAGTTTACAGATTGATTGAATAAGACGCCTTATTTCACCATCAAAGAATGCCTTTATGGAGCCTGCAGACTAATGTAATCATCATGATAGGGGATTTTTGTTTTTTAATTCTCAGCTTTCATTCTCGGTTGCTTTATTTTCTACAAACTTTTAGATGTTTTTTTTTTTTCTTCTTCTGTTTAAAATCTCTTTCGTTTGTTGTCACTGAATTGGTTAAAGTTCGACTCTTGTCGTCTTTGTATTTTGACATAATTGTTGTGCCAATTTCTGTTGAAGTCGCAGAAAATTGTTCCTCTTGTGATAATCTCCTTCTAGGTCTAACAGATAAACAGGGGGATGATCGTGATTTCCGCAGAATGTATATTTAACAAACGTTAACCTGCATTTTTTTTTTTTCTTATTTCAGTTACTTTTTCCCTTGGTTCATCCAGTTACTTTTGTGTTCTCTTGAAGTTTTTGTTTTAATTTTCCATGTTAATCTCGCCTTCTTCCATCCCCTCTCCCCCGGCCTGCAGCCTGCGTCGCACGGCCGTCGAAGCCGTAGCATGTCTGTTTGCGTCCCCCCTTCCTCGTACTCCTTTTCCCACGCTCCTTCGTCCCTGGCCGCTCCTCCGAAACAGCCCGCCACGCCTCCTGCAGACCTGTCCTCCCACACCTCCACCTCCGCCACCTCCCCCTGCGCACCTCTCGCTTCCGAGAGGGACACGTTCGCGGGCCGCCTCTCCAAGGCCCTGGAGACGGTGCTGCCCCTGCACTTGGGCTCCTCTCAGCCCAGGGCCAGTCAGCGGAGGGCCAGCCTGCCTGCCCTGTTCTCCACCCCTGTAGGTTCTCATGTGTAAGCCCCCTCACCCCCAGTGGTGGGGAGAGTCAAAGAGGGAAGAGAGAGAAAAAGATGAGAAACTATGCCTGTCATTGTTTGCAGTTTTGTAAGAATAGCATTTGTCTTTCTTTATTTTTTTTTTTAGTTTAGCCATTGCATCAGCTAGAAAGCTTACAGTGTAATGCTAAATTAGCAAAAAGATAATTTAACAAGATGCATTTAAATTTGCACCTTAAGAAGATCTTGGCATCAGGTTTTGTGTTTGACGTCGATGGTCCTGGGACTTTCCTGCTCTGCATGTTTTAGTGCAACACTAAAACCAGCTGGTGTTTTTCCATGTTTTTTGGCTCTACACACACACACACACACACACACACACACACACACACACACACACACACACCACACACACTCATCCAGATGCATGAATTTTCTTTCAGTAAAATTCTGAAGAGAAATCACCAATGACGTGAAGCGACAAATTGTAACGCATTAAATCACTGACATGAACTGTTTTTATCCATGGTGCCTAAATAGGTGCCGCAACATTCAACAAATATTTGACAAGAACATCTTAAGCTATTGATTTTTCATAATAATGATAATTTAAAAACTGGATTTTTTTTGTTTAACAGAAAGGAGTAAAGCAAACAATAGAGATATCAGAAACAAGACCATATCGGTATTCGTTTTGTAAAATAACAGTTTGCTCTTTACGCTTTCTTAGTTTATTTTTATTTTGGCCACGGTTTGATTCTTTTAGCTTTGTTCAAATTGAAAACAAAAGTAGTATTAACAGTGAAGCATTAAGTGAACTTCTCTGAGCTTCAGGGAACTTCAGTATAAAAGACTGACGTGTGTCTGAGCTGAGAAACATCCCAAACATCCAGGGTGGGAATCTCCGGGGTCAAGCCGGAACGAGACGGTTATCTCTCTTAGACTCTCTCTCTCCCTCAACTTGACCGTCATGTGTTCACATTGAACAAAGACAGTTGTGAGCCATGATCATGCTCCATGGTACAGACGTCTCGTGTGAGGTGCATCTACAGTCAGAACCAAAACCTTCTTCTAGATCGACTGAAGAGTAGATGAAGTTGTGTAATTTATTTTTAACTGCCTCATGAATGGTTAATTCTGTAATAAATACAGTTTGTCTGACTGAAGATGCATCTGGACTCTTGCCACGCTTAGAGCCTTTCTGGCGTTTCCTCTTGCCTTCTCCACTTTCTTTCCAACTGTGAGTTTCTGTGTCTTATCGGGTTTATTTTTTTGGCCTGCCTGTCTTTGTGCTGCAGCTGCGATCCATCTACTGTAACCGGCTTTACATCTACGCCTCACCTGCCGACTTTTTTTTTTTTTATACATATATATACTTTTTGATTAAACTTTGCTGCCACTTAACTCAGTTTCCTTATGTTCTGGTGGATGGATGTTTTTCTTTTTATTCTGCTTATTTGAAATGTCAACGTTTTCTTGCCCCATTTCGTTTTTGGTCTTTTCTGTGGTTCTCCCTGCGATTCACCTGATCTTCATTCTCAAATCGATTGTATCTCGTTGTCGTAGCAGCACTCATTGCCACACGCCTTCGGCGGAGGAGCGAGCTCGGCCGGAGGAGTCCCAACTCTCCCGGAGCCTCCGGCTATTTTCTTCCCTTCCATCCCCGAGCGCCCCGTTTCCTTCTCTCCTCCTCCCACCGGCCCCCCGAAGGGCTACAACACCCAGAGACGTAAAAGCACCTCCATTCTGGAGGCGCATACACGGCACTTCCAGCCCGCCTACCCTCGCTACGGGAGCACCCTGCACCCGTTTTCTGGGATGGAAGCTGTTGAGGGTCCGTCTCTCTTTATGGTGAATCCTGGCTTTGCGGCAGCGGCTCAGAGACTCGGCCCTGGCGATTCTCTGCATCTCCCGGGGCAATCCGAGCCGACTTTGTATGGCTACAAGGACATGAGAGCGGAACACGAGGAAGCCATGAGGCGGCTGAGTCTTAATCAAGCTGCTTTGTTGGACCATTACGAAGCAATGGCATATGCGGGGTATCCGATGACTGCCCACCAGCTGGGTCATCTGAGTTTCCATCATCAGAGGCAGGCAGCAGCTGCGGCAGCGAGTTTGGGCTTTGATCCTGGTCCTCCACCTCAACCAGGGTTCATCCACCCACAGATCATGCAGAGAATAAGCGCACACAGCCCAATACCTCCAATGCTGCCCCCGATGACTCCTTCCACCGGTGGTTCAATCTCTTCTTCATCGTCCGAGGGTTGCTTTCCTCCACAGCATGCATCCTCATCCCCCTTCCCCATTTCTGCACCTCCAGTAATGGCCGACGCACCGCCTGCTGGAAGTGTTTTTGAGTTTCATCTAGCTGCGGCTGCTGCGGCCGCCGCTGCAGACCCGAACCTGCTGGCGTCCAGGATTTACAGAGCTCGCCGCAGCTCCATGGACCTCCCTCTGGAGGACAGCTCCGGGACCGGGTCGGGCGGTTCGGGAACCTACAACCGACTCCAGCCGGTTACGGAGGAGCTCTACGCCTACATCAGCCCAGAGCTTCCTTTGCCTCCAGGAAACCTCCTCCTTCACCACATCGGTTTGACCGCAAAGGACCGGAGCCCTGAACCGTCCAGCGACTCTCTGGCCTCCTCCGATGCAGGAGAGTTTCAGTCGCCTCCTCCCCCTAATCTCCCCGCTCAGTTCGACTCGTCAGCCGCTCAGTCAATCCCTCGGTCCTCCTCTTCCGCACACTACGATTCCTCGGGGGGAGCCCTTCTCCAAGAACCCCAGGGTCATCCGCCTTCAGTCCAGAACTTTTTCCCTCCCACCCCGTCGTCTGAACTCCCACCTGGCGGCGCGTCGTCGGCTCAGCCGGAGTCTCTGCAGAGTCCCTGGCCCCAGCAGGAAGCCCAACACGATGCAGCCCACCTTGAGTCAATGCAGGCTGCTTTTCCCCCTCTGGTACAGAGTTCAGACCTCAGAAACACTCGTTATACCTCTGGGTCAGTTGCTAAAGGAAATCATTCAGTTATCGCTTTTCAGAACTGGGATGATTTCTTTTCTTACAGGGTTCCAACAGTCTTTACAAAAATAACTTTCTGTATTTTATAGAATATTAGATTACAGATTATTTGCATTTTTACAAACCCCCCCCCCCAAAAAAAAACGTGACTGCAACAAAGATAAACTGTAATCTAGAGTGGCTCTCAAAAGTGTGAACATTTCTGCAAATATGCCAGTTTTTGTAACGTCAAGAAAGCAAGACCGTAACGAATTGACTTCTCCTTTAGTGTGAACACCAATTTTTCTGAAAAACAAATTTATGAGGTGAGAAATATCCATTCAGCAATCTGAATGCAGAAGTTTACATACTGCTTGTTCTCATTTTTTATTTTATACAGGTCTGAATGTTTTTTTTATTTATTTGTTTTTATTCTTTTGGAAGAAATTACTTCCATCTTCAAACAAAGCATACATAAAAACACAACCAATACTTCTGCAGCTTTCTGTGTTATTGTCTAAGGCAAATACAAATATATATCAGTTTCGTCACAGTCACTGGAGTTGAATTAACCCATCTTAGGGTTAATCTAATCAAACTATTTGAGGGTGCGCACACTACTGCAACCACTCTATTGCATTAATTTCACATCTTTGCCCCTGTTTGTTTTTCAGTTGAGTTGTACAGCACATGTCGCAGTTAAAGGTCGAAAAAGGTTTAAATTATGATCTCAAAAACTTGCAATTTCACAGATGTGCACGTTTTTAAGATGAACTCAGAGCTGGGAATCTTCCAAGAACCTTCCTTCAACAATCTTGACATTTGAGTCTGGAAAAAATGTGTTAATGTGTTAAATATAAGATTTGTTGGAACCCTGTATTTATTTCCCTTTGGTTTCTATCCCAAATGTTTGACCTGATTTACATCAGTGTTTTTAAAACTATTTAATGGATATTTATTTTTTGTTTTGCCCATGAGATTGTTGGGAGTGCCTAAAACAAGAGGATGTCAGATCTTAGTGCTTTTCAATCAAATTATATTAGTAATCTGACCCAGAGGCAGTCGTACGGACCCCCCCGTTGTTCTCATACCCTGCTGACCCAGCAGCTCTCCCCAGCTGATGCTTATTATTCATCCTGTAGTCATGTTTTGATTTTAACCCCCTACAGTCGTATATCGGCACCGCAGAGAGAGTCTCGCAACGCTCCCATTATAACGACGAGCTCACCGTTCCTTCACTCGGTAATCGTGTGTGAAGCGTTGCCGAGGAAGAGCGTGATTTTAATCTAATACAGTTCAATTAGGGCTTAATAGGAGGAAGTTTTGACCTGGATCACATTGTTCCATGTCCATTAGAAGAGTCATTATTACTGGTTATATGTAATTTAGAAGCTGTGTGCGAGACCCTCTCTGGTGTATAAGCTTTAGAAACGATCCAAGCCCCCTCTTTTCTGTGCCTTTGTTGGCTTATTTTGTTTTTCTTTGTCGTATAAGTAAGTAATATTTTGTCTGTATGTTCATATATGAATGTATATGGAAAAATGTGTGTTTGTGTGAGTATACGCACTCTGTGGTATACTTGAATGTTGATCGTACAAATCCAAAGTCGGCTTGATCTTCAAAATACGAGTCACTCCAACCATCTGAAAAAGGCTAATTTATTGCAATCTAGGATTTAAATAAAACTAAAAAAAAAATAAAATAATAAATTCTAACAGTCATAACAATAAGCAAGACTTTGCTGGTTTGTATGGGCAAACACACAGAGACATACAACAAAACCGAGGGGGTTTGGACACTAAGCAGTGTAACCGTGTTGAAACCCATTTTATGTTTGTGTAGATTTTCTGTTGTAAATCCAAAAAGGTTTTCTTTTTTTTTTATGTTATGTTATTGTAGACTTCAGCGATTAATTAAAACGTGTCAAACCCTTAGAATGCTGGTGTTTACATTGCCAGCAATATCTTTTCGCATTTGCTTCCAGCCACTTTTAATTTCTGCATTTTCCAATCATTCACTCATAATTGGTTTCCCTGTCATTCATCCTAATTAAAAATATATATATAAATTTATCAATTAAATTTGTGACGTGAACTTCCTCTATGTTTTGCGCCCTGTGTTGTTAAAAGAAGGGTAGGTAGGGGTGTGTGTGTGTGTGTGTGGTGCAACATGCTATACCTGCCAAAAGCTTTCAGCAGACTTCGTCAAGGTGAGCTTTATGACAGGTACGGAGTTGCCCACAGCCTTCTGAGGGTTCAGTCATCCAAAGGTTGTGTGAGATGCTGCCCTGCGATCCTTTAGATTATGTGAGAAACTTGGTGAAAGTGCAGTTTTGGTAATAATTTTACATACGCTCATCATGGACATAAATGCTGCTTTAATTTTAGGCTTTTAAAGATTCAAACTGTTATTTTATTTTATTTTTTTCCAAGAGTGAAATGATCAGAATTACAAATTTAAAAAAAAATCTATTTGGTTGACATTTATATTTAGTTTGGATTTTCAATTATCTCAAATGCACATGAAAGCTGGGTTTAAAATGGATTACCTAAAAATATATATATATATTGTATTGTACATTGAGTTTTTTTTTGTTTTTTTTTTTGGTTAAGTCATTGAAATTCTTTGCTGCATCATCATTGCACTCTGAAAGAAGAACAAATAACATAGAAGCATAACATTACTAGGATATTACTGCCCATGATGTGTCTATGTAAACCACCAACTGCAACTGTATCTTCTGTTTATGCACAATTAGTAGAGACCCACAAAGGTTGAGGCTCAAAATTGAAGGAGTGAGCTCAAATGAGATTTTTTCTTTCTTTTTTTTTTCACCCCTTAATCAGTAAAAGTGGGACAAAGAAGGTCGGACAGAAAATACGGCTTTGACTCTTTAGTTCAACATTCTGTTTTTTATATTCCAACCACTATGCTAGAATTCACCATCACGACATTATGTAATAGTTATTATCACTGCCAATCACTTAGGGTCTTACCTGCATGTGCAGTGTCCTACTTACACCCTGCCTAACCCCAGTAATGTGCCTGTACCGTTGCTATATTTCCATCCAGCCAATGTCGGTGTGCTTATACCATCCTCTGGATGGTTTATTGTACATTTGGTGTCTCTGTGCATGTGTGCATACACAAGAGGAGAGTGTAGTTTGAAAGTAAGGGAGAAGGAGTGTCTTGTGTTTGCACTCATGCTTGGTTTGGGTTCAAATCTACAAACATGTACTGATTGATTCCTTTTTTCTTTTTTCTTGTCCTCAATTTCTTGATTTCCCCATCTACATCCTCCATCTTTTTTCCCCATATGCCACATTGGATCTCTTCCTCTTTGTCTGTTCTTTGCTCTTTTTCTATAAATCTGTTCCTAAGCAGCAGGTTCAGACTCCCACCCCTAAACCAAGTTCAGGAACCCCTCTGGTTCCTGCCGCCACTCAGCCTGATCCCACAGGGACTTCCCAACAGGTAGGAAAATGAAGAGAATTTAAATCCAACAGCTATTATTATGAACCACATACAGAAAAAAAGCATCTTTTGGTTCTTTGTAAGAGTAACTGAGAGGTTGCCTCTTTATAGCACTCCATTTAAACAAATATACATGACATTGCAAACCCCTCATTTTGTTATTCACGAAATAAAGAAAAACATTGCATTCTTCTTAAAATAGGCTCAAATTCAGAGCTTAGGGTTTTTTTTTTAACCTTTTGTTTTGACCTCTTACATTTTGTTGCTACCCTACACTGTATCTATAATTAATTTTTTTTTTCCCAGGCTGTGTTATCCGGTCAGAGTTCTGTTTCTCTTCAGAGTCCAACCCACACAGCACTGCAACAGACGTCTGCACAGGTAACTATTTCAGTGCAACCTGCCTTCAACATTTATTGATTCTTATCGTGGAAGTGTATTTTGCCGGCACTTTGCAATTAAATTCTTGTGAACCAACGTGTAATACAATAGATGAGCTCCAAGCTCCACATCTTTCAGATGCGTCTCTGCCTCAGCACACCTGAATCAAATAACTAGGTCAGGAGCAGGACGATGTTGAACTTGACTACTTGTTCAGGCAGGCGTTCAGCCGTTTGGTTCGGGTGTGTTTTGGACCAAGGACCCGTCTAAAAGCTGCCTGTAGAATCCCTGTCCTAAAGCCTTGATTTGCTGATGTTTATGCAAGTCCATATGTTGCTATTTTTGCAAACACACGTGTTCATAATCACTTTAGAGACTTAGGAAGGCGTCTATGTACTAATTTAGGTTGTAACCACTGTATATGTGCTGTATATACTATCATCACTCCTGGTAAAGATGTTTAGAAATTGCTTTTTATTGCTGTGAAATATTCAGACACTAACCAAAATCATTTATTCAGTGGAGAATACTTTCCACATTAAAAAAATATGTTTTTATAAGAAAGTCACTGTCATGTTCTATATAATAAGGATAACTGAATCACTTTTGGAGTTTGCAGAAACTTTTCAGTTTAAATTAGTCATCAACAACTTTTTCCTCAGGTTTTAATAAGCAAATTCATAATTATAAGCATTTGAATAACTATAATGAGCACTTGTCATTGTGTAAGATCACTATATGCTACTTAGGGATGAGCTTGAAATGTTTAGAACAAAATGTAGTTGTATTTATTTTGGTATTGATAAATAGATTAAAAAAAAAAAATCAGTCCACTGTTAGCTGATGAATGTCTTCCTTTCACTTTGTTGCCGCCTGAATAAACCGCAAACATTTCTCAATATATCATATGAGATGCATTTTATTTTATTTTATTTTTTTTTAAATAGCCTTTTGCATCTCTGACTTCACTTGTAAACACCTCACTTAAACTGAAAACATCTACCTTTAAGTCGTCTCGGTCATCTTTCAGGGCAAAGCTAAAACTATTTTTCTCTGCGTGTCGCTTACAAGAACAGCTACTCGCCTAAATCTACCAACATCTACAGTAAGAGCAGCAAATCCCAGCAGTCCTTGCCAACATGTACTGTGACGAGGATGGTAGCAAAGAGTGACCAGATCTCCATGGAAGCATTTTGAATTGCGTTCTGCTCATCTTTACCAGGGTTGTTGATAATACTGGAAGCTATAAGTTGCGTTCACATGAATAAGCAAATGAACTGTACAAGATGGCAGCTTTGAAATGACTACTGTGATGAGTTTGTGCATGATTCAGTTTAAACTCTTCATCTTAGTTTGATTCATTTTCTTGTCTTTTGATCCTCTTGCATGCTGCTTGTCTTTCACCTCTGGGATTGTCTCGTCTTTCTGTGGTGCGTGTAGTTTTGTGACCTAAGCCCCTCTCCCAGTATAGAGCATCTTTATCTGTTATACCAGGCTGCTCAGCAAGCTCTGGTTCAGGTACTGACCTAATACATATTGTAAACCAATGTCCATCTACGTGTGTGTGTGTGCGTGTGTGTGTGTGCTGCACCCTTGAAGCTAACAACACATCAGTGTTGTTTGTTGCTGTGTTTGATGTCCCACAGATTACAGGCAAATTCAGCCTCTCTAATTGACTGAAGTAACTCTGTCATCTTTTGTTAGCGTTTTTCCTTTGGCTCTCCGACTAACTCCTGTGATTAAAAGCATGAATCATACACAGAGGAGGATATTTTATGGAAATGAAGATGGATACTAATTCCAGAATCAAAGACTGCTAAATATCAGATCACCAAGCAAAGGAGAAACTTTAAATGCAAGCTGGATCACTTTTTTAAAAAAAAATTTAATTCTAAATTACAGACATTTCACAAAATCAAAATAGATTTGGGTTTTTTTATGGTTCATTTGCACTTTTTTTTTTTCTTTCCTTCCTTCATCTTAGACTTTGGGCTGTTCTCAAAGTATGAAAAATAATTTTCTTAGATTTAAACACCTCCACCTCCTTAACCACTGGTGTTTTGGAGTTACCTTTTAGACTGAGAAGCCCTTTTATTATATAAAATGTCTTTTGACTTGCAGGTTGCCTAAAGTCTAAGCACTTCAGCTCTTATGTTTAAACTTTTTCTTTCTTTTTTTTTTTAACGACTTACAGGCGTTAAGCTTGTATGTGATGAAATTCACAAGGTCTGAGTCCTGTGTGTTGTGGATTGATTCAACGCATTATGTTTTAGCCATCACTATCACGATTTTGTTTTAGTCACTGAATGAAGAGCCACAGATACATGCATGACTTACAGCTGTGCTATATGTGTTTGCCTTGTACAGAATTTGCTGTTCACTCTCAACTCTCCCAAGTCTCTAAAAGAAAAAACCTTCCAGGTTTTTTGCCTACACTTTGCCATATACAGTCAGACATGTTTGCTCATAATTTTCACATTTGAAGAAAAGAAAGATGGTACAAAAGCCACGAATGTCGATTTTCGCCACATTCTCACTTTTAATCATCATTTGGGTTTATCTACTTCCTCCTCATTCCTTTGACGTTGCTCCTATCTTTTTCTTGATGTTTTTTTTTTTTTTTTCCCTCCTGCTTCTTGTTTCTGTTTTCCCCTTATCTCGGTACCACCCATTCAGCCCAGTTTACCTCCGCCAACTTCTACTGTTCCCATGGTGACCCTTCCTTCTCCGTCGGCTCTTCCGACACCAGTCGTGCCCTCCCTCCCCTCTTCTCTGCCAATCCCTGCTGGGGTGGTGCCTACACTTGTTCCCTCTCCTCTTCCTCCTGTGCCCACACCTGTGCCTCAGCCTTTGGCCACCGTGGTGCCAGTCATCAGCGTAGTCACCGTCCCTCCTGACTCTCCCATGGAAGCCCCTCCTAAGGTACTGGTTCTGTTCAAAGCCACCAACTGGAGGTTATGGCGCCGTTACAGGTTCGGGTAAAAATAAATGCTGCATTGTCCAAAAGTCCTAAAGTCAATCTTTTGATATTTATCCTCATCTTCCCCAGTTCGAAGCACGAACTTGTAAATTAGTCACTCGCCAGACATCTACATCTGCCCATCATGAGCATTAAGTTCAATTTGATTTAGGCCTTAAATGATATAAACTCTGTTCTTCCAAAGTCTATTGATGATACAATCAGGTGCAATGATTTGCATGATTAGAATTGGGTCCACATGTTTGACTTTACTGTGGATTTTAAGTCATTCGGATCTTTACTGTGGATTTTAACTCATCCCGCAACAGTTAATTAAATGCCCCATAACAAGCAGCACCTCCTCCATTTGTTTGTTTGTTGGTCTAAACAAGCTCCTGGAATAATTCTGGGTGTATTTTGAACCACCAATTCACTCAAACTGGTTGGTTTCCTGGAATAGACCCAGTTAATAAGTATAATCTGCACATCTCTAGGATTAATTAAATGTATATCCTTTCATTAAATAGTGTAGAGTTCGGACCTTTGGGACAGCCATACCAGGAGCTCGACGTTAGCTAGTTCTGATGTGTGATGGAGATGAGTGTCCTATTGGGAAAGTGAAGATTGATGCTGCCGCCGACATGCTTAACTGTTGAATCGGTGACGTTAGAGTCTGAAATCACTGCAGTGACTCCTCCAGAAGGCATTTATTTTGTCCAGGTGGGAAACTTTCCCTCTCAGTCCATGGCGACGTAAAGCTTCAGCGTCACTAGTGTTTCTGCATTACCGTTTCGTTCCAGATTTAGAACTTTAACTTCATGAGGAATCCCAACTAGAGATTTCATCTGAAAGCTTTGAGTCAGAAAGTTGGGCGCTCCAGCAGGACAGTGAGCTCAAACACGCATCCAGTCTGGTTATGTAATGGATAAAGCACTCTATTCTTAAGCTTTCGGAATGGCGTTTCCAAATCCCTGACCCCAACCTTATTGAAAATTAATTCTCTGAGTCTCAACGCCAAGCCTCCACCAGGAAGCCAAGCAGTTTTTAAATGACCTCCACCAACTCTGGCTAAAAGATTGGTTAGATATTCAGCCAGAAGCTTATTGATGACAACCTATGGTTGAGATGCAATAACCAAATTATGTATTTGACCCTGTATGGATTATAGAAACTCCAATATATTTAGACCAGACTGCAAAGTATGGAAGAAATATTGAATACAGACCAAAAAATGAAATGTCAATTAAGCAATCCACAACAAATTGATTTATATGTGCCCAATTCTATTTAAAAAAAAACAAACAAAAAAAACATTAAACTGAAAAGAAGCGTTCACAACAAAATCCCTCTTTCATTATCTGGATTTGCATTGAATTATTTTATCCCAGCCATAAGTAGAGTGTGTGTATCTGAAAAGTTGCTTAAACAAAGAAAAGATTGTTTTGCACGCAAAAGTAAAGAATGAAAAAAAAAATATTATGACAATACCAAGATTCAGTATTTCACTCTATTGAGAGTCTAAAGCTGGTTTATATAAAATGTGTTATGTTGAGCATTTCTTTGTTTCCTTTTGTTGGTGCCAGAATAAAATTAAAATCTGTTACAATGGCAATTAGAGTCAAGAGAGCTCTGCAGAGTGTTGATATGCAAAACAAATCACAGCTAAGGGATTTGTATTTACAGGACAAAGTCTTAAATTAAGGGCGATTTAACCATTTTTCCAGGCTCACACGTTTTTAAGTTTTATTAAAAGAGACTGTAGTTTGATAGATTCTGGGTAAGCATCTTAACATTTGCTGTTGAGGTAATTTTCATGTTGCTTTCTAGTCTTTCTTAGTGTTTTTCCCAGCTTTAATGCATTTTTTCATCCCCACAGTTTTCCTGGTGTGTGTGTGTGTGTGTGGTGACGCCTTATGCTTGTTCACGACAACATAAACATGTCGGGTTATGTGTGTTACAGTCGCCTTCGCAATCTTCAGAGCTGTCGCAGGGCCAACTGCAGCCACCCCAAGTTCTCTCATCTATAGAAAGGTAATGTATGCAAGTGGATATCGGATAACGTATAATAAAAGCCTTTTCTCACGCATTTCGTTTTTAACGCCTGCCTTTCCCTCAGCGGCCACTCGGAGATGTCGGGCCTGAGCGACGGAAACGAAGGAGGAGGCGGCGGCCGCCATGAGGGTCGCTCCGCCAAACGGCATCAGAGGCGTTCTGTGCGAAGCCGGTCGCGTCACGAGAAGACGTCCAAGGCGAAACTCCACGTCCTCAGTGTAACGACACTTTTCCCTAATCGTTCTATCGTCTTAACATCTTGCTTTGTGCGACACGACATGTTACAGAATTGTGAATTCAAATGCGTGTCATGAATCGTTGGTCAAAATGGAGATCACTTTTTCACGTTCTCGTGTTTATTTCTTTGTTTTGTTTGGCGTCGATGAATGCAGATCTCCAACCGAGGAGACAGAGTGGCAGAGTGTCAGCTGGAGACTCACAACAGGAAGATGGTGACATTTAGGTTCGATCTCGACGGAGACAACCCTGAGGAGATCGCCCAGATCATGGTACGGTGCTGATCACCCGACTGCTTTTGTCCATATTCAGAGATCTTGCTCAGCCTCTCCTATGCTTGATCAGGTTCTTGAGTAGAGGTGGGAAGAAAGGACTTTAAGCCATTAAAAGAATCTAAGTGTGTCTGATTGTTTGGTTGTTCCAGGTTGAGAGTGAGTTCATCCTGGAGAGTGAGCGAGAGTCGTTCATCGAGCAGGTCAGAGAGGTCATCGAGAACGCTGATCAGAAGGGAGACGCAGGAAGTCAGGTGAGGACATAAGTCTGGGTCTCAATTCATTTTCAGAGGAAAAGCTTTTGGTCTTGTGTTCATTGTGGAACGATAATAATGTTTTTGCAGCGTTGGAAATTTTTGCTGAAACATTTTCAGACTTTGTCTCTTCGCACTCTCAAAAACCAGCCGGTTTTCTGAAGCGATAATTTTTTAAAAGGTTCCGAGTTACTAACACGTTCGCTCATTTATTTCCAGATGATGGGTGACAAGGAAGAGCTGATTCCTGCGATAAGCAGCCCCATGCCGGGTAGGAACAACTTAATAAATAAAACTGTTGTTTAGAAGAGAAAATCCACCAAAATCTAACATTTCAAGTTTAGGTTTTTTTTGTTGTTTTTTTTTTTGTTCCGTCATAAATGGGAAAACATTTGTTTTTCTGTATTTTAGACATCCCTCCCAGTGCGACGTCGCAGGTGGTCCACTCAGCAGGACGGAGATTCATCGTTAGTCCTGTACCAGAAGGCAGACTGAAGGACCAAACCCTGCCCCCCTCACCAACACCTGCCCCGCCAACTCCGTCTGAAACTGGTAAGTAGACCCGATTTATCTTCTTCCTGGATGAGCTTCTCTCTCTTTTTTTTTTCTCTTTTTCTTAAATTGTGTTCTTTCTCTTTTTTTGTGTCCGTTTAGCCCAGTCTCATTCTCCTGGCCAAATGTTGGTATTTTCCCAGTCTGCGGGAGCAGTCACGTTACACCAAGCCTTCTCTGAGCTCAGGCAGAGTAAAAACCAGTACGACGCAGGTCCCAACACCGCCCCGGCCTCCGTCCACTCCACACATCCTCCCCTGCAGCCTGCAGCGGTGGCGGCCTCCCCACACAGCAGCGTAGTCACTCCCTCCGTGGATTCAAGTCTAAATCAAGTCAAAGAGCAGCTCAGTGAAGCGTCTCCTCCTCCCCTCTCCTTCTCCTCGCCCTCCACCTCCGCGCCCCCCGTCTCCTTCAGTCCTCCCTTTTCTTCGTCTCCTCCTCCTCCCACCTTGGTAAATCAGATCATCCTCCAGTCTCAGCCCGTGATGCAGGCTGCGTCTCGACCACAAGCACAAAGTCAGACGCAAACCCAGCCCCCGGCTTACATCCAGCCCCAAACGGTTTCTGCCGCCTCGCTGCCTACCTCCGTACCAACGGCCAGCATCACCAGCATCTCCAGCGTCCCGCCGACGGTGCTCACTTCCTCTCTTCTAGGCCAGACTGTCCCGTTCGTATCCTCGCCTCCTTCCTCTGCTCTCGAACTCTCGTCGGATCATCCGTCAGTCTCCCCCACCTCAGCCTCCGCTGTCCCCACTACAGCCATCCCAGGTCCACAGATGTCTCCGCCCTCCTCCGCCCTTCCAGTTCCCGCAGCTGGCTTGTCCGCCTCTGTGGGTCTCCAGCCGGTGACCACCACCGTTCCTCCGGTCCAGCCCACTCTGGTCCACTCGCAGCCACAGACTGCAGCCCTGCCGGGGCAGACACACGCACACTGTGGAGAATGTGACACGAGGTGAGACGCGAAAAAAAGCCTCTGTTAAAATGCCACGTTTTTGTAATGGAGGTGCGTTTCAGCTTTAAACCTACAGCTTTTATTATCATGTTCTCCTATAAAGTTTAAGATTTTTGTACTTTACAAAGCAGGGTTTCTACCATTTAATTATTTAAGTGCTCAGGAATGACTCCTAGCACACTAGAGACAATAATCAGCCGCTTTTATCTGGTCTGTGCCAGACCAGCATAAACCAGTCAACGCACTGCACAGTCACAAACTCTTACCAAGTAATTTTGGTCTAATTTCTAATGCAAATGTCTTGGTACACCTGGAATAAGACAAAGCTAACTTACAAGTAACTTTTCAGCACAATATAGGGGCTTGTTTTAAGTCAAAAATTCTTGAATATTGATGAAACGTACAACTGAAAATCTGTTGTTCCACTGGTAGATTATTTCACTTGCAACAAATACTTTTTCTTCATTATTAAGGAATTATTGACTTAAAACAAGCTCCTATTTTTTGATGAAAAGTTAGAAACTAGACCAAAAATCCTGGCATTAAGTGTCTTTTTAAATTAATTACTGATTATTATATCATCTTCCGATGTAACCCCTCTTTGTCGTCTCTCAGGACTGAGGCTTCCTCCGAGTCCGTAGGCAAACCGGACGACATCCAAGCTCTGGACAAGAAGCTGCGCTCGCTCTTCATGGACCTCGGCGGAGTGGTGCCGTCCACACAGGGAGACGTCCTACCTGCTGACCCCGCCTCTGGAGCCTCCGTGGCTGGCACCTCGTCCCCCATCAGCGCCGGCCCCACCTCCACCGCGTCTGTAACGGCTCCTGGCTCCACCCAGTCGGTCAACCCACCGCTGCCCCCCTCCAGCCTGGCACTGGGCCCTCTGGGGTCAGCGGCTCCCGTGCAAGGCCCAGGGACACCTGTAGCCACCCCTGCATCGTCCAGTATGTAGAGGATTGTGTTTCTGCAGTTGTGGGCCTCTTTAAAAAAAAAAAAAAAAAAAAAATCAAATCTTTAACTGAATTTCTGATTCAAATCTCCCTAGTCATCCCTGCCTCTTCTATGGGTCAGACTACTCCATCCAAAACCCCCCTATCCAGGGTACCGGTGAGTTCCACAGAATATCATATCTAATAACTCCAGAGTCTAATTGCTTAATTTGTGTATGGGTATTGGATGTATGGGTAGGAAGCATGGGCATGGTTATTTACTGCTAAAAGTAATATATATATTCAGTTCTAATTGTTTCTTGCTACTCTTACAACTCACCTGGCATGTAAGTTCCTTTTAACAGGGTTCCTGCACAGTCTTATTACAGAATGTCTTTTAGTATTTCGAAATTTAGGGAAAAAAAACTTTATATATTCAAAAATCTGACTTTCTAAATCTAAGCTAAATAATCTGAAACTGTTACGGCGTTTGATTAGACAGAGAAGAATGCAAACGGTAGTAGATCATTTTTAAGCGAGAGGCTTTAAATCTGCATAGAAATGTTGTTTAGAGGGAGAGCACAGGGTATTTCTTAATGAGCAGAGATTTTTTTTAGAACATTTGATGTCAAAAATATATAATCCTGACCTTAAATTAAAACTATACTATCTTCCCAATAGAAATAATTCAAATCAAATCAGAAATATTTTATTTATCCTCACAGGAACTTAAATGTTGCCGTAACTCGTATCATCCCAGCATCTTCAGGAGGTGATTTGGAAGGTGATGCTGCAAGTTGTAAGGATCTCTGGTAGCAGTCAGTTCTGCAGCGAATCTGAAGAAGCCTCTGACTGAAGACTTTGTCAAACACGCCAACAGCTCAATATCTGGGCAGCAGACTTGATATTCCACAGCAAGATGACATGGATGTTGTTGTTGGCAAGCACTTCTAATATTTAAATGCTTTTCAGCCTGATTAGGAAATCATACAAAAAGTTAGTCAAAAAAAAATTAAGAGTTCTTTTTTTTATTTTTTTTTAATTTAAGCCTGAGAAAGATCATTTAAAAGAAATGTGCAGGAACCCAGTTTTAACATTCTTAGGCATGAACACTACTTTTGTAATCTTTTCTCCAGATATCTGTTTGTTTTACTTCCTGCCACTTTCTACTCATTGCATCTCTTTCTCTGGGATTAGGCCACTTCTCCTCCTTCAGAGCTCCTGACACCCTTACCTGGACCTTGTCTAATACAGGTGTTTTTTGCTCATTTTAACACTATTATATGTACTGCAATGCAGCTCTGTTTTTGTTTCAACTGTATCTCAACTAATTCAGTCTAATTTTTTTTATGTTACTGTAACATCTCCACACTTAACTTTTAACACAAAAAAACAAAAAAAACAAAACAAAGCTTCAATAATTCGATTGACGTATCGCCTGTGATGTGTCGTTCTTGATAGGATAATTGCAATCTAAATGTCACCGATAATGGAACGCGTGCTTGAATAATATCCCATCTTGGCATAAAATGGTCCAAAAGCCTAAAATAATTGCTGAGGTTCCAGCAGAACACAGTGAGGACGAGTCACTTCAGGCCACAGACTGTCTTCATTCCCAGCCTTTGTTGTTGTGGCTGTGGCCGTCTAAAAATAGACATTCTTTCAACCAGAACCGCGTCCTAAATAGCGAGACATGATTTGAAGCTCCTTTTATGAAAATCTGACCTGCCTGGTTATAAAACTCCCTCCGTTTCTCTTATGCAACTCCCTCTGGGTGAGACCTGTCCTGTTTGATTAAGGTAATCGTTCTGTGGTCCAGGTTCACCATGGATTTGATTTTAATTAATCTACTTTTTTTTTTTAATTGTGACTAAATTGCTAATGTGAGGGCTTTTAATTTTTTCACTCAGTGATTATTTGTGCTTTTGTGCCAACAAGGAGACTTGGTTCTTCTATGAAAAGTTCAAGTAATAATAATTTCATTTGTATTCAATTAAGTTTTTCTTTTATTAATTCTAATGCTGCTCAAATTGTACATCTTGATGGCAAATGGACTGCAAAAACGATGCAGAGTATTATTCTTTATTTAAACTTTTTAAGAATATTTAATTTAGTTTATGTCAAATTAAAGCTTCAATAATTAAACTTTTTTTTTATTCTACTACATCTGCAAAAAAAAAATAATACAATCACTACAACTGGAAACTAATTTGATTTGAAACAATGTAACATCAATTATTTAAAACCAAGCAAAATATTTTTCTGATTTAAGTAAAATGCTAAAATAAGCTAAGCAGAGCAGAAAATGACACTTTTTCCATTACGTCCACGTTGACGCCGACAAGACCTTAATGTACAAACTCAAACTTCAGTGCCGCTGCTCTTTTAGTGCACAACAGCCTAATATTTTGTCTACTCACTCCTCCAGTCACAGCAGCCTCTGGAAGACCTGGACGCCCAGCTGAGGAGAGCACTGAGTCCAGAAACTGTCCCTGTGAGCTCACACACACAGGTCGACACACTCCCATTACAGCCTCATTTTAGTCGCTTAGGCTGGTGCTGATGGAGCCACTCAACCCGTTTCTTCTCTTTTAACACTTACTGCAGGTCTCTTTCAGCAGTGTTCCTACAATGGGACAACCAAGTACGTACAATTTATTTACTAAACATAGTGAATAAGTTTCTTTCTCTGATTTATTTCACAAAAATGTGTCACCTTTGCTACAGTTCCATTCTCACTGGAAGAAGAAAAAGCCCCTTCCTCTGCTCCTCCTCCTGCAGGTGGAATTAAATTAGGAAGATTTCAGGTAAAGATGTGTTGGAATCTTGTATGGCATTTGCACTCACTTTCACATTAGGAAAAACTTAAAATTGTACACATAAAACTAAAATGATGTCCTCTGTTTTGGATTTTAAAATCACTGGGAATGAAACGCTCGTAAATTAGGCAGAATTTGATTCCGGTTCTTTTCCGTCTCCTCTCCTCTCTCTTCGTTTTCACACTCAGGTGTCCTTGGCTGCCGAAGAGCCTGCTGTCCAGCGCCCGTCCTGCACAGAGTCTTCTTCCACCACCTCCTCCTCCACTTCGTCCTCCTCCTCGTCCTCCAGCCTCTCCAGCCCGGAGAACACGTTGCACAAAGACTCCCCGTCCCGTCTGAGAGGGAAAGGAGTGAAAGGCGGAGACGTTGTGGACGGGCTCCTCCAGAAGGCTGCGGCGGGATCCCACCTCGCCTCCCCTCTCGGTTCCCCGTGCCGCTCCCCCAAACCCACCACCACCATCGGCCGCTTTCAGGTGCGCGTCGTTTCTCTTCCGTTTTGCCCTTTTCCGTTACGCCGTCGGGTCACACGTTTTTGTCAAATGGGTCCTGTGAATTCAGGTTACCACCAACCCCGAGACCCGCGTCGGCCGGTTCTCGGTCAGTCGCGCCCAGGAGCAGACCCAGCAGCCCGAGCAGAGCCCTCCGCCGCCTGCCGCTCGGGCTGCTGCTAACGGACCCAGCGATCCCGGACAGGTTCTGTCTCCAGACTCGCCTCACAAAGCCTCCCTACCTAGCCTAAACAACAACTCCTTCAACAACTCCTACATGAGCAGCGACAACGACTCTGAATTTGAGGATGAAGACTTTAAGCAGGAAGTCCGAGGCCTCAGAGAAAAGTAAATAAAACCTCGGGTTTTCCTGCATTTCCCAAAACCCTCTGCTTCAATATCGCTTTCTGTATAAGAATAGAGAAAGGGAAAACATTGTACAAATGCTTTCCCTTTTCTTCCTTCAGGCACATACGTGAAATTCAGGCCCTCCACTCTCGCCAGAAGGAGGAAATCGAGCGCTTGTTTACAAGGCTGGGAAAGGTGATCTGTCACATAAAACACCATACCATTCTCAAATCAGCCACATAAATACTAGATAGCAACTTCTCCTACCTGGGATTTGGTGCAGGTGCCTCCAGCTGCTGTGATCCCACCCCTCATCGCCTTTACTGGCAGAAGGCGGCGGCCCACCAAAAGCAAATCTTCAAAATCGTCCAGAAGCAGCTCCACCCACGGCAGCAAGAGCCCTTTACAGCCAGGTAGGCTCACCTTGGTGCAGCAGACTTTATTTATTCATGTTTGGGCAATACCACTCACCATGCAAAAAGTATTCCCACCCCACATGTTTGAGCCTGAGCCACGGCGTCACTGTAAACATTGTTAAACATTTTACTCTGTTACTTTTTCTATGTTCACGCATTCGTGTGCACACATCTGTCGTGCGTTCGTCTGTTTCGTCACTCGTGCATGCGGGCATTTCACTGCATCAGGCTCGGAGCCGGAACATTTCTGACTGCTTTTCCTGTCTGTTTCTCTCTCTGTTGTTGTTTTTTTTTTTTTTTTTTTTTGTGGGTGACGTTTCTCTCCGTCCGTCCTCTTCGATGTCTCTCCATGTCCGCTTTTCGGCATGTGCGTCGTGTCGATGCTTTCTGCGATCTCCAGGCAGCACTTTATCCGCCCAGAGCGTCCCGGCCGTGTACCCCGGCCAGCTGCCTCTGCTGGCCCCCGGAGTGCTGGCCGACACCGTGCTCCAGCCCCTCAAGCAGTCCGCCTCCAGCAGCAACCTCTGCTCAGCCTACACCAGCGAGGCGGCGCTGTCTGTGCCCAGCTTGTGTGCTCCGACCCCGGGTAAGCATGTCACCGGGGGCTGCGGCAGACCCCTGCGCGTCATTCACACTGGCAGCTCTTTGCATGCAGACAGAAACGAGTGTTGCAAAAAAAAAAAAGAAAGAAAAACAAGAAGCTCGTCCGTCTGTCTTGCTTTTTCTTTCTCTTGAGTGTGAACGGCGTGATGGCTCACTCACTCTAACATCTTTTCTTTATACTCTTCAACTCTCTCATCTGTCTTCTGTTGTATTTTCTCCTCTCTCTCTTCTTGCTTTTCCTTCACCTCTGTCCCTGTCCCCTTTCTGCATCTCCCATCATCCCTCTCTTCAGGCTGTGTAAAGTTCAGCTGGGGTTCGGAGCGTGTGGCCTTCAAGCCGGGTGGCAGGAGGACGCGCTTTCTGAGTACGCCCTGCTTGGCTCTTTGTGTGTAACGCTTTATTTCTTTGCTCTTCTCTTGTTTATCCTTACTTACCTTTCATTTTTAAATGTTTTCTTTTCTCCCGTATCTGTTGAGACTCAGTCATGATTTCTTCCTGGTGGTTTTTGAAGAGCCGCAGCTGCAAGATGCTCATCTAGAGAAGCTGGATGAGTCTAGTTGTAGTTACTCTGGCAGAAATTAGAGGACAACTGGAGGGATGCAAAGCTTTTCTGTCTGTTGTTTTAAAATTATGAGGCAGGTTTACTAAATTTTGGGGAGAATATGACGGCTTTTTGCCTTAGAATTTGATTTTTGTCCATCTGCAGAATGAAGCATATTGGGCGTTGTTTTCCCTGCGAAAACGTGAAAGTTGGCTTAATGTAGAAGTGCTCCAGGATCGTGAATGATTAACTGATTTGTGATATTGTTGAATTATTACTTTCATAATAAATGATGAAAGTAGTAGTTGCCATAAATCCATACAGCCCTCTTCATGTTGTTGTGATTCATCCTCTCCTTGCTACGACATTTAGCATCGTGAGCATCGTTCTCTTTGTCAAGTGTGATTATCTGATGCTGTGAGATTCTGTCCATCAAGTTACATATTTGGGAAACAAAGTGTGATTTTATAACGTTTCAGGTTTTATAGCCAACTAAAGTAAGGAGATTGGTTTTGGGATTTTCCAGATCTTGAGTAAGAAAATTAATTTCAAAATTTAGTCCCCTGTATCATTCCATATCTCTGTCTATCCATCCATTTATTTTCTTTCCTTTCATCCATCCATCCACCCATCTGTACAACCATCCTTCTGTCCATCCCTCCATTTGCATCCATTTTCTGTCAAACCTTCCATTCACTAACGTTGCATTCTAGGCATATTTTAAGTACAGTGTAAAGATGTTTGCTAACCAATAAAAATAAAAAAAACCTGATTTGCCAAAACCTGGAATCAGAAAATCTAGACTTTAGAATCACCTTGAAGCGCAGCAGTTGGTATAAATCTGCATTAGGTGCTCAGATCAGAAACTACACTGATGGATATGTTCAATCCTGCAGCTGAACATCTTCAGAGTCATTATCTCAGCTTCTCCTATTCATGCAGACAATGATGTGGTTTAGCATCTGTTGCCTTCCAAATATGTGATTCAGAAACCCCCAAACAAGTGCAGGATATCTTACTTCTCTCTCCTCCGCTGTTTGTGCCTCCTTCTACTGTCTCCATTGCTCAATATGAACATCTGCACCAGCTGATCAGCCCGCCTTGTGATTAAATACTAACTATAGCTTCGTAACACCCAATATTTCAGCACACCGAAATTACAAACAGACCGTATTTCTAGCCACACAAAACCTACATGTTTCTATTTTAACAGCGTTGATGTGCATTTTTGAATGCTTTTATAAATACTGTGATTGTTCTAATGAAAATAAAAAGGATCCTGCCCATCAGAAGGAGCACTAATTAATTCTGAGCTCGCACTAATGAGATGCGATACGAGAATGAAAGATGAACCCTTTAGCAACCCTGACATTAACCAGCTACAGCTTTGCTACTTAAAACTTCAAAAAGCAAAGCGTCAGAAAACGGTCAACAAAGTCAGTGAAAGTCCTTGTTGTTCTGGTTGATCTGGTTACAAAAGTGTTTACAGGTGGCGCGAGTCGGTCCGGTTGAGTATTTCCGAGGTCGACGGCAGAGCAGCTCCTTTGTTGGGGAAAATAAACAGAAGAGCAGCTGTTGCATCTGTTGACTGTGGGACTAAACAAAGTCACGCTCGGGTTGTCAAGTCATCAGGCCGTGAGCAGCCATGATCTGATTTCTGTGCCATGTGCAGCTTTAATTTTCCACGTCATGCTAGGACACCGTGGCGCGCAGACACGTCGGTCTAACACCTCATCCCTGCTCCTTCTTTATAATTACACTTTCCAGTGATTGGATTATTCGTTTAATTCGGAGGTCCTGGTCCGTAATTGAAATCTGTGCTGTTAAAGTAACTTGATTGTGACGCATATTTTATATTTAGTCTGCTAATTAACTCCTTTAAGCAGTTCACAGCACACAGACTTGCGCAGTAATCCGTTTGGACAAGGCTGTGCTTTCATTTCTGTGAAAACAAACAGGAAGTTTTGACTTGGTGACTTGAGTTTTTGTCATCTAATTTTGTGTTTATTGAGAAATGTACTGTATTTTATTTTATTTTTTGTTTTAATCTGTCATTTCAATCAGAATATTCTCGTTATCAAGTTTTTTCTCTCTCTCTTTTTTTTTCTTTATGAAAGGATTTTTCTGAATGCTTCTGATCCCTCTGCAGCTCAAAACGCTTCCCCTTCCTCACTCATCATCCTCACTCCCGTTAAACCCCCACTTTAACCCCATCACTGCATCACCGGGGAGTGGAGAGACAGACTTGGGTCTTAGTGACTGGATTTGGCTTAAATAAAATGAAATGTAATTCATATTTTGTCTTAACTCCTAATAATATCAGTGGAACTCAAAGCAGTTGTACTTTATTGCACCTACTTCACATTTCTATATTAGGCAGCCAAAAACTTTAATGTATTGAAGTTGGATTTTATGTCACAGACAACACAATAAATGGACAGTGATGATGTAGCAAGAAAATGTTACACGCTGTTATTTTATTTATTATTATTTTTTTTACAGATTAAAATGAAAGAGTGGCATGCAGTTGTATTCAGCCCCATTTACTCTGATCCCCCTAAATCCAGAGCAAATTTGAAGCTGCAAAAGACTTGAGACAGATCAGAGATAAAATGGAGTAGTCTATATTAAAGTGCAAGTCGGCCTAGTCAAAGTCCAGAAAAATGTGACCGCTTCCCTGCTCCTGCTAAAAAATAAATCAATAAAAGAAATCGTTATACCCCCACCACCATGTTTGAAGCCAGTTGTCTGCACTCTTATTTTATTTAGGGGTATCAGTAAATGGGACTGTGTGTGACATACAAACGCATGCTACTCCATAAAAATTGAAAGCTGTGTGTAGTTTTTCTTTCACTGTAGACTTCTCCTCTACTATATACTACTTTATATTGGTCTGACACACAGTAAAATCTGCGCAAAATACATTAAGATTTGTGATTGAAATATGAAATAATATCTGGGAAAATGATGTTAAGGGGGGTACATAGTTATGCAAGGCCCTGGTGACATTGACCCAATCCTGGTGAGCTGTAGAGAGGACTCAGAATCATATCAGAACCAGATGATTTGTCACCCAAAAGCATCTTAAAGCTACAGAGAACAGACTTTAGTGGGAAAGCATTTAAATTCCCATGATAACCATTTGCACTGTTGTCTCCCATTTAATGTTATCCTTCTATGACCCATGTTTGACTTCAGAAGATGAAGTTATTCCCGTTTCCTTACTGCGCAAAACGCAGTTGACATCCTTGTTTGGTGCAGAGGTCGTTTCTGCCCTTTAAGATGTTATTGGTGACGCTAACCCACCCCGATTCTGTGTGTACCTTGTATGTCGAGTTCTGACAATCATACTCAGCTGCACTGTGCTTGATTGTGGGGTGATGTGGGCGGGGCTTTTAACTCTGACTCTCTCCCGATCCTCCGATCGTTGTCTTCCGGCCACCCCCAACCTCCTACAGGGAAGATGGTGAAAAAAGTCTGCCCCTGCAACCAGCTCTGTAGTAACTATCTCTCTCTTTTTGGTCTTTCCTCCCTCCATCCATCCCCCTTCTTGCTTGCTCTCGCCCTGTGTAGAATCAAATTTGACCAGTTGGCCAGATTTGGGATCAGTTCAGTTCACTTCAGTTGTCATCTGTATTCTTTTATTTTTTTTATTTTTTTTGCAATAACTTTAGATGATCCGTTTTGACTTTGAGTTTTAATAACTGAAATGATCCTTCGCTAGAGACTCAGACTGACACCGCATGCATCTGCAGGCTCTCCTGAAAACCTCCGCCTCCCCTCCCTTACCATGGCTTGCAATCTAGACTGCATTGACCAGAATCCCCTGCTGCTGCAGCCATACATGACTCAGCGTCTCCACCATTCTTGTTTTCCTCCATTTTGCTCAATGTGAATTGACAGTTTTATTTACCAGACCGGCAGTATGGTTCTCTTGCCTCAGGTCCTTGAATATATTATTTTATTAAAACAGGCCGTGCAAGAATATTATCTCCCTTTTGCTCATTCTGTCAGCATGGCACCGTCTCTAAAGCTTGTTTTGTCTGTGAACAGAAGGCAACTCTGTATGTCCCTCATCGTGATGACTAAGAGTAAAATTAAGCAACATTTCTTTTAAAAGTTATACATTGCAGGAAGTCAAATAGCAGCGCATGCATTTTTTTAAAGAGTAAAATTGGCTCTACAAGTCTGGGAAAAGTGCATTTTCTGCTCCACTGGAGTGTGGGTGCCACCTATGGGCTAATAAAGGAATTACAGTCTGCAGAGACAGTTTCCATACAGTCGTCGTTACTGTGAATAATAGTAAGTTTGGAATGCATTCGAATGTCTAGACCGTTCAACAAAACTTGATTTAACTTATCAAAATTCAAATTAGGTGCAAAAGTTTGAATTTAGTGTGGATTTTCAAAACAAGCTCTAAACAAGACAACCACACCCACAAATATTTGGATAGCTGTTGAACCTCTGTCGCGGGTACATATATTGAATATATGGTAGATTTGTACTGCCCTGCGTTTGAATTCATTCTTTACCTCAGTGAAAGAATTCTGCCTTTAAATGCTGATCTAAAGCAACATGTGTCATTCGTTCCCGTTTGTCATCCTTATTTCCATCAGAACTAAACAGTCAATTATGCTGTCCTGCTCTAAAATCCAACCGGATCCTGCATTCACTCTCATCCTGACGACTTCATTCCCATCTTTGTGTCCAATGTCTCAGTCTCTTTCTCTCTCTGGCGCTCTCTGTCTCCCCCTGCAGGGACGAACAGCACCAATGCAGTGAGCGGTTCAGAGGGGCTGGGTCAAAGCCAGGGCGGCTCCCAATGTCTGGCGCCCAACATGTCAGCACCCCACCAGAGGAAAGGAACCTTCACCGATGACCTCCATAAACTGGTGGACAACTGGGCCAGGGACGCCATGAACCTGTCACAGGTCGGCAGTGGCCATGTTTTTAATACGAGTGATGTGGCTCTCCACCCAGGGCAGAATGAGTTGTTGGGAGGGCCGATAGTACTTGAAAACTGTCAGTTTTTTATTTTTATGTTTGTTTTCTATTTTTTGCGTAATTGCTTACAGTCAGCAATTGTAGGAATTACATTTTTTTGTCAAGTTCTTTATGCAGCTCTTAGATCTTTATCTCTGTCACTATGAGGGTTTTTTACATACTAAGCTGTTTTAGGTAGTTTGATAAAAACCAAAACAGACCACTATAGTGAAGAATATTGTGCATTCACAGTATTAAAGCTGTTATTGATACTCATTTAAGTTTACATTCAATCATTGCAGGGTAAAAGGAGTGCCAAACAGCAGCAGCAGCAGCTGCAGCAGCAGGTCCCAGCACAGGGACACAGTTATGAGGTAGGTGTAAAAACATACCCCAAACACATCACACATGAATTAACTTCTTTTTATTTACTACTTCCAAACCAATTCCTCGCTCACTTCAGGCCAGTACTTAAAATAAAGATATAAAGTTATATAAACTCGATTAGATGTTGTACTTAACTGAATTAATACATCTGGATCGAGTTTAAAAACTCCATCCTGCACTTATCTGGTGCGTGTTTGCTTTGCTGCATATAATCTGTGGGGGAAAAACTCAGAATAAATTTGTTCCTGTGTGTTGCAAAACTAATTTCTAACCACAAAATTTAATGGGGGGGGGGTGTGTTTTTAAATGCAAGCTTTAATGTGATTTTACACCAACTGTTGCTTTGTGTTGTTAAGATCACATTTATTAAAGTTTGTGGTTAAAATGAGAGGAAACCTTCTTGGACTATGAATGTGTTTTTCAATGCACAGTTGAGATTTCTTGACCCACGCTGCTGTCGCCCCCTGCAGGTCACCCAGTCGGCCAGTCTGGGCAGGAAGTACTCGGCTCCCAGCCAGCTGTGTCCCAGCAGCATCGGAGGCTCCGCCCACCTCCCTGCAAACCCCACCAGCGCTACCTCTCTGGCTGCCAGAAAAGGCTCCCTCTGCCACCCTCCCGCCTCCTCTGCCCCGCCCCACCTCCAGCCCCCGCAGTTTATCCCCTACGCCCCCAGTGCCGCCTACACCGCCCAGTGGTGCGGTCCGGCTCACAGCATGACGAACCCGCAGCAAGCACCAACGCAGCCTCTCTTAGTCAGCGCCTCCCAGCCTCTGGGGCCCTACCCGCCTCCACAGGGCCATCTACCGGGACAGGGCCCCTACCTGCTCACTGCCACTCTGCAGAAGTCGGTGAGCAGCCCAGGGGGGCCGAACATGAGGACCACGTAGGGGCTGGCCGCCAGGGCCGGTTTTACTGACGGACAGCCCAGTCGGACAAGTGAAAGGCGGCTTGTTTTGCAGCCAGAGGAAGAGGAGATGCAATGGAGTGGAGAAAAAAAAAAAAACGTAGCAGGAAAAACAAAGTATTAGCAGTGTGTAGGTGAGGTGCCCTCCTTGCTTTGGGGTCGTGACAACCAGCCAACGGATCAAACGGAGAGGAAAAGAAATGCATGTTTTGTTTAAAGAAGGTTTCTGACCAAGTGCAGTGTTTTCGTTGGGTGCATCACAACAAATAGGGATATCTTTGAAAAGTTCTTTTTTTGTCTTTCAGTATTTTAATTCAGTAATAACAAATAGATTCATTACACAGAATGATATAACTGAAGGATTTATTCCTGTTGTTTTTTTTTATGATTATGGCTGAGAGCAAAATTACCAAAAAAGCAATAACTTTTATTTTAAAAAATGTCGTGTTTTCACCTTGTTACGACTTACACAATCATAAGTAACCACAGTTTTTCCTTCCACTAAACTTCTGACATTAATATGTTTTATTCAGAACTCCTGTTACCACCCAGATTCTTCAGCAACGATCTTTTTCAGTAAGAACATAATATTCTGATTTTTCTGAGAAACAGAGTTATGAGGTTTTTTTCCCCACCTATGGTGTAGAATTATCAACATTAAGAAAAAAACCAGAGATATATCATTGTGTGTAATGAATCCACATACCTCTGGTGTCGCAGTTTGAATTAAGCTACTGAAGTAAACAAACTTTTCAATGATCTGTTAGTTTACTGAGATCCACCTGTAAGTTTGTTTAGAAAGCAAATTATTATTATTTTTTTCAGATTTGTACTCGTCTAAACGGAGTGAATCCAGCAAAGCATCATTACAAATACAGGCGTTTGCACACAAAAGCATGAGTTCAGTGTGTGTAATCTTAAAAAGCACAACAACAAAAAAAAAAAAAGATCTCAAAACCAGTGCATATCAAGGAGTTGTACCTCGGGTTGGTTTTGTTTTGGGTTTTTTTTTTTTTTTTTCCTCCCACGATCAATTATTTAACAAGTTGTTGGAGGAAGAGGAAAGCGGGCTGACGAAGAGGATTTTTAAGTGTTTCCGATCAGGCCTCATCTGCTCACCAAACGAGCTGCCTCTACACTCCAGATGCCTCCTCCCTGTAACGACTCCGCCTCATCCTCTCACCCCCACCGCTCACCTTTCTGTGTCGCCGTGTGAAGCAATAACAGCAGCAACCTTTTAGAAGGGGAAGGGGGGGAACAAAAAAATAAAAAAACAGAGCTCAAAATGAGAAAACAAGTGGCCTTGTTATCAGAATAATATCAGAGTCCTTGTACAGTTTTATTTTATTTTTTTTTCTCTGAATGTTTGCTTATGATGATTCCATTTTGGTGTTTATTTTGGTTTTGTTGGGTTTGTTTTGCTCGCTGCCGCCACACACACACACACGCGCACGCACGCGCGCACACACACAATGCACAAGACGTTCACAGAAGAGCAAATACACGCACACAGACAAGGCGTGGCAGCAGTTTAACCGACTTAGACTCACAGATGTATGCCTCATTTCTGACTAGGCTGGTTTCAACGTTTGGGTTGAAATAATTGCAAGTGTAAATTACTATATTAATGTTATTCTATTTAAGAAGAAACAAATAATAATAATTAAAAAAAAAAACCGTGTTCTGTCAACGGACCTGTTACGTGCACATCGCTGTACGATGTGGAGACACTGTGATTATTCTTGTTTATTCTTAGCAAAAAAAGAAAAAAAAAATGTTGTTGGACAACATTAGTTTTTAGGGCGACGCGTCACAAAAAGCATTCAGAGAGCGGCTCGAGTCGTTTCCTTTTCAGTTCAATGGCTTTCCGTCGAAATTTGAAAACAAAAATGCAAAACCAGGCACGGGCTGGTGATTTCAAACAAAACTGTCCGACTTTCAAAACTGCCAAAATCAGGCCGTTGCTTCCGCCTCTGAAGGCTTTGGAAGTTTGTTGCTTCGAAGCACCAGAGGAAGTGATTTTGCGACGGGAACCCTCAATAACCACAAAGATTGTGCATTGATATTTATAACTGGGGATGGGGGAACAAATTAGTCTTCCTAGTTGCAAGGAAAGAGTGACATTTCTTTCAGTAAAAGCTGTTTTAGTCTAATTTGTATACAGCCAAATGAATCGGATTGCTGTAATGCTTTCTCTTATTAAAACTACCTAAAATGCAACAACATTGTAGAAAATTCAGCGATTTTCACACTACTTACCGGAAACTGCATACATTGCGATTTTGTTCCTTTTTATTGTGCAAGGGAAAAGTTTAGCATTGTTTTTCAGGCTGCAACAGTTTCTTTGGCATTTCCTCTGAAGGACTTTAAATCATAGAAACAACAGCACAGAGGATTATTCTCCATTTTGAAACTGAATGTTATTTAAAACCCTGAATCCGGTAACAGCCCCAGGCCTCGCGACATTTCTTTAAAAAAAACAAAAAAATTCAATGCCTTATTGATAGCTGATCAGCTTCTCCAATTACTTATTGAACTGAAAGTGGAAACTGACCTCGTTCCCACGTTCGAATGGCAGGATAGTTGATATTTAGATAATAAAATAAAGCTAGCTATTTTTTTTTTTCTTAATACAGTACTTGTATGTCAGACACTTTAAACACGCCCTCCTGCTCCCTTTCCACCCTGGTATTGTTGGATGAATGTGAATGTATAAACCAATGGTGTCCATTTTAATGTACTTGAAAAGAAAAACTGTTTTGTCTTTTTATTTCCACTGTCTTTGCCCCCAAATCTTAGAGCCTCGGGTTAAAACCGGAGGAACTTATAGTGCCTTGCGTCCTTCCTGTTGCTTGTCGGTTGAAAGTGGCAGAATGTGTTTGGATTTTACCCGAGCCGACGATGGCCGGACGCGTTCAAGGTGCGACGGTGATAAAAGGGGAGTTTACTTTCTGCAAAAATGCAAACATTTGACTGCTGTTCAAGTCGGGACGAAAAAGATGGGAAGGTAAATCTGTCGTCACTCTGCCGCTGTTCAATCCAGGAGTTGTTAAAGGTTAGAAAAGGCAGCAGTCAGTCGTCAGTGTTGTTTCTGTTGCTGTGAGTCTTTTCGTTTTTAAGGAGGGAAGTTGTTAAAGATTGTATCTGAAGCTTGGACCACTCTGTACCCTGAGTGCAACATACTGCTTTCTCAACCTGAACCGAAAGTTTCACTTTACATCAAAAAAAAAAAAAAGAAATCTTATTTTAAGACATCCTTAATTTTCATCTGAATAGTTTGAATAATTCATCTTAGCTCTGAGCTGCACAGTGATTCTGTAAAATGCAGAAGTGAATGGAAGGAGCTGAAAATCTCACTCTTCTAAACGCAGCACTGTTCATTCAGAAGGAATGGTTTAGCTACATTAATGTAGCTTTGTAAACAAATTCAAGATAAATCGATTTTAAAAATCCACCCAAAATATTTTTCAGACATGCATAATTTCACCAGAATGTGCTGTATTAGGTTACTGGGGATGCAGTGGTTGCGTAAAACATGGCAGCAGTGAATGGAAGCAGCTAAAAGTCTTGCTTTTCTTTACAAAAATCATTTTCTCTTCCTAGTACGCTAAAGGATAGTAAGTTTTTATTTCACAAGCTTACTATCCTGTAAGTTTGGAGTGTTTTTGAGTGCCTGATGCTTAGTTTGTTCACCCTAGTTTGGGTCATAGTTTTTGTTTGTTGCTGTTTTTCACTGAGAAAAGGTGAACATCTCTTTAGATGCATACGGTTGAGGTGGCACAAATGGGAATTCAGCAAGTTTTACTCCTAAGCATGGCACATTTACTTTTGGAAGCGTAATCACAGCGATGGTTTTGTTGCTGGGGAATGTATTCAGTTTGAGTTAGAACACTCTAAAGCCCTTTTTCTTTTGAAGCATTTCAAAAAATATCTTGTGCAAGATATTTTCCCCCATCCCAAAAACTATTTTTCTTATGCTTTTTTTGTGTTAAAGCTGTGAATGCTCTCTGAGCCAGTTTCCTCTAGATCTGTGGATGAGCTTTCCTCCTGACCCCTCCTGTGTTTTTTTTTATTTATTTTTTTTATGTTTTTATAGGTAACCTTAATGGTGGAAAAACATCAGAAGAAAACAGATTTAACAGCATTTCATTGCTGGAGCTGCTCCAGTTGCCAGGCAAAAGTATTGCTAATGATTTCCACATTTAACTTGTTCCCCATTTAAATAAGTGCTTACAGTGCAGAGCAGTAAAGTTAAAGTGACCCTTTGCCATGAAGCTATGAAAGAGTAGGACTAAAAGGCAAATTCCGCTTTAATACATTAGCAGCGATGCTTTTATCCCCTTCTCTCAAAGAAAGCATTTTGTCAGTCGTAGCAATAATTTCTCATACCTAAACAATCTTTTGTTTCGGCATCTTTATCAATTTGGTCCTTTTTTTTTTTTTTAAATCATAATTTTTTAAGTCTCAGTTGTTTTATGAGCTCTTTTAAAGCACGTGGGCTCCTTCTTCTGCACTGTGCTCGGCGTCGTACAGAAGGGGTTGAGCGAATGACGGAAAACGGGAAAATGGAGCGGTATGTTTCGCACTTGCTATGCAGAGTGTTCAAGCTTCAAATTAACAGAAAGAAAAATTTGCGCTACAACACAATGAAATTTGTTACTTTATTTGTAAAAAAAAAACTTAATAAATAAAGTTGTTTAAATGAATGGAAGAGATGAGACTTTGTTGGACTTCCTTCTGAAAAGATGTCTGGTGTGTGTGGTTATTGTCATCAGTTGTCCAATCACTTATCTGAAACTACCATCCTGCAGCATTTAAATTCATCCCTGCTCCAACACTCCGGATTTTCCCATCAGCATGTTCTTCAGCTCCGCAGAGACGTGGCAATGAGCCGTTTTATTTGATTCAGGTGTGTTTGAGCAGAATGTTGGCTCAGGACTGGACTTGATCTACATGGTTTTTAGCAAGTAAAATAGAGATTAACTCTTGGTTTTTAACCAAATAAGTTTGTTTTGTTTTGTTTTTTTACTCACAATGATCTATAAGTGCACAATTGGTATGAGTTTAAGCCTTAAAGGTGAGTTTATTTGTATTACTTTCAAAGATCTTAATAAAAAGAGCCTTGCCACTATTCATAAAGACAATTTATCCTTCACTTTTGATTAGGATTATTTTAAGTAATCAGAAAGCTGTGTGGTGAATGGAAGCAGCTGAAAGTTCTAGCAATTTTCATATTTTGAAGTACATTCTGATCTGAGTTTTACGGTTTCCCATCTTGGCTCTAAAAACATAATTATGACCTCTAAACGCCAAAAAGCATCTCCATCAGTCATGAAATGTAGTTAATTTTCAAGGCAGTAATTTTGTTATTCGTCATAATTATGACATTAAAGCTAATTAATGTAATTGTACCAGCCAGAAATGGGCTTCCACAATCCCAACTTGGGTGTTGCAGTACCTCTAACTCTCCACACGGCTGCGCTGCTTCACTTCACCTCATAACCCGCTACGTTTTGAGTCACAGTCCGCATCCTGTGGAATCATAAAATAACTTGTCTCGCTTTGTAATCAGGAAACTGCTTGTTGTGAGGTGTTAATCTTTGCGTATTATCTGTCGCCATGGAGACGGTGGGAATGGCTTGGCCTCCCCAGTAAAACGGGAGGCCTGGGGAAGGAAAGGAGGAAGGAAAATGAGACATGCTGCAACACAAAAACAATAAAATACTTTTAAAAAAAATCAATGGGGCAGTTTTCCTGCTATGATATGAAAACTGAACAGTGAAAAAAAAAATCTTTAAACTGAATGGGAGTTTACATTCCACAATAAGGGTTCTCACAATAGACTGAAGTTTTCAGATGTAGATGAAAATTCAGCGGGTGATTTCCAGCTTCGGCTTTATTCACATGGTGTTTACAAAGCTCCTTGGCAACCATTAAGTTTCATGTTTAGTTTTCATGTAAAAAATAATGCAGAATCAACAAAACCAGTAATGGAAACCCCGGTGACTGCCAATGTCTCAGTTTTGTGTGCACAAAAATGAGGTGATTTTTAGGCATTGAAAGTGCCAATTTTATGGCACTTTCAATGCCTAAACGGAGGAAACTGTCTTTCATCCGTCTTTAAACTTTACTGATTGCGCAGAAAAATATTCAGATTTCATGTGCGACATCTGATTAGTCAAACTTAAAACTAACTGTACTAAACAAAGCGAGTAAAGACAACATCTTTCAAAGCTTTGTTGGTCCCGTTCATCTGATAAGCCGGAGGTTTGATCATTGGACACTTTTTTTTTTTTTTTGCAGACTCTATATACTAATAAGCTGACTTCTGGGCTCCATCTTATTTAGGAGTATTGCAGTAAATAAACTGAATACAAATGTACACCTTCATTTTTATTTGTGCTTATAAGGTGGAAAACTGCTTTTGCAAGACGCAGTAAACGCAACATTTAGCACTCTTCAACTTACCTCTCATTTAAGATGGTTTGTATCGATATCCATAGAGTCCGGGAAAAACTGAGTGCAACTTTAACCTGAGCCATGAAACGAAACGCTGCATGTCCTGTTTGATTTCCACTTAACTTCAATCTTTAAATAAAAGATGTGCAGATTTTCACTTCCTACTTTTTTTTTTTTCCTTGACACAAATATGCGAAGGGAGTAATGGACCTTTGTCTAATTTTCTGCCAAGCGTTATTAAAAAAAAATCTCACTTGATCTTCTCTGCATTTTTTTCAGGTGTCTGTCAGCTGCCCTTGAATGAAACATTTAAGCTCACAACCACAACCCAAATGTGAAGACAAGCTGACCTGGATGCAGCTGACGCAGAACGCCTGTTGTTACCCACAATGACGGTGAAAACGAGTTAGAGTTGTTATTCAGCTTGATGCAGCTTGAAGCCTGCATTTTGAATTAAAATTGTTCCAAAAGACAGGCAACTTAAGCAAAGCAATGTTGATTTATTTTTTTTTTTTTGCTTTTGCTGAGTTTACAGAAAATGTTCTGATACCGAAGGGTAAAGCAGATATCCTCCTTCAGAGAACAGAGCAGGATGACTGATGACTTCTGCAGGAAAATCTCATCCTTTCCCTGCTACATCCGTGGTGTTGCAGCCTCTCGGTGTTTAGTGTAATCATGTAGCTTTGTGAGCAGAAGCTGCGGGTCTGCTCAGGGCCGTATGGAAGTAGCTGCAAGCTCCTGCTGCTGTTTTCTTTGGCCACAGAGGGAAGTTTTTCTTTATTTTTGTCCCAAGTTAATAGCACAGAGGCCTACATTGAGCTGAAGCAAGTCTGCAGACTGTATTTGTGAAAAGAGATTTCCAAGAAAACGTATTTGCTAAATGTCGAAAATATCAAGGTTTACTTCTAGTAGAGAAATGTGCATCGCGTTCTTAAAAAACCAGAAGTGTACATACTACGAATATTGTGCTTTAGACAAATTTTTAAAAGTAGCTAAACAATCCAGATTACGGTGGGTGTGAAAATGCACTCAAGGACAAAAACAGAGCCCTGTAGAGCCAGAAGATTTATATAAACACGAGACCCCATACTGCATAAACATGAACAGTATTTTTTTAAGTGTTTGTAGAACCTCGCATATTTATATACACATCCAATGGGTATTTTTTTGGAACCTGTTTAAGAACAAATGTCATTAAAAATCTAATGTTGAGTTTATTTCAGCGCTGAAGCTGTTCTGAGTGGGTGACTTGTCTAAAACTCCTGTAGTTACTGGAGAGGTGTTTCGACACGGAGAGCAAAGGTTCGTCTCCTTTTCCAACTTATGGATACGTAGGAATAAATAGTTTATCTTGGTGTGCAAGTAAACAATTTTGTCTAATTTTGTCCTTTGGGTCTACATTTAAGACAGTTGAACAAGTTTCAATCACTTTTAGTTCATATTCAGGCCAAAAATCCTTTAGACTTTAAAGACTTTGCTCATTAAGCAGTAAATCTGAGAAATGACAGCCATAAACCATATCATAAAAAGACTGATAAAAGGCAGAGCTATTCTATTTTCACGTCACAGTAAATAATCATCAGTGTCAATTAGTTGTTCTTTTTGTAGACCGGGTTAACGTTCTTTTACTATTTATACATCCAGGTGGTGACGGTGTCCAAGTAGTTTGTCATAGTTATTATGCCGTCTCTCAGGCACAGAGGTTGGTCCTGCGCTTTAATGTGGAAAATAAAAAATGTCCAAACACATGTCCAGGTCACGAGAGGTTGCGAGTAGAAAATGCCCTAAAGCAAACACTGCATGAGAAACTGCCAGCACTCATTTACTTCAGATTTTCAGAGCTCAGAGGTGGTGGAGATGTTGTGTGAGTATGTCTACTGTTTCTTTGTCTGAACATTGTTGTGTAGGCCAGATGCTGCCGTTTATGTAACGCCGAGTAATGTGCCAACTGTGTTTTCCAGGTTCTTTGGTTTTATGTGTGTGCGTGTGCATTTGAGGGCTTTAAATGAACCAAGGAACTTTGAAACAGTATGTCCTTGACCGGTCCACTTTACTGCTATAAACAGGTTCCTTATTACATCCACGAAGGGGTGGGGGAGAGGAAACATTTAGCCTTTGGGTGTGTGATGCATTATTGGTAGGCGAGGAGCAGAGGTGCTTGGAAACGTGTTCAGCCTAAGCAGATGCAGTTTGTGGGATGTGTGACAGTGAGCTCAAGCTCTGTGGTTAATGCATTGATCTAATCTTTCTGCTGAAAGCGCCCCCCACACTCGAGCCATGCATGCATGCATGCACAGCCATGCCCCTTCATGCAAACGCGTGGTAGAGGATGGCCAGTCTTCCTGGTTAGAAAAAGAAAACAACAAAAAAGCAGTTTATTCTCATAGTCTCAAGAGACATTTTGCTGGATTAAACACAGTATTTTTTATTTACTAGGTGATTTTTCTGTGCTTTTTCCATTCTGTTCACATCCACTGTAGTGGATAAAATGAAAGTTGTTTACTGGCCTCCATTTCTGAACTAAATACCAGAATCTAGGTCAGTATTTCTGTTGCTGAGGAGTAAGTTAAATATAACCTGATCCACAGAAGTTAGCCACGTCTCATTAATATTTAAGCAACATTACATGTTCTCCTAAATGTTACACTCTTGAGTATCACAGCAAATTTTTGCTTGTTCTTTCTTTTTTTTCAGTTTTATTTATCTGAATGGATTGTGTAGGGTAGCTCAGGTCTATCCACATGCCTTTAATTATTTTTAATACCACCAATAACTGTACAATTTTAGACAGAACCCTCAGGACGGAGATGCTTTGGATTGTTCTGAGGTGAGTTTGAGTAATTTTCCTGTTGTAGGTGATGTATGTGGATTTTTTTTTTATTTAATCAGTGGGTTTATCAAATTTAAGAGAAACATTTTAGAAAGTATCCAGTCTTGTTCATTTACAAAATTATATACAATTTAGAAAATTATATGCAAAGTTTTTTTTTTTTTGTTGTTGTTGCAAAGTTTTAGAGCTGAAATGTTTCCAAGTCAACAAGTTTCTTTTTTTTTTCTTTTTTTTTAGCAACTTTCTTTTACAGAGGGACAAATCAAGAAATTTCAGCACAAGCGCCTTAAATACATGCTTGTTTTGCAGTTTTTCAGTATTCTGGTGTCAAATGTGAGATTTAGAGAGCTGCAAAGAAATAGGCGCCCACAAACCTCAACTGAAACAGCGTCAAGAAGAGTGGGTTAAACATCCTCAACAGCTATGTGAGATCCTGAGGAGTTACTGACGATAAATAAACTCACTGCTGCATGAGTTTACAACCTGGGTGTGATTAGTTGTTTTTTTGTTGTTGTTGTTTTACAGTTGTGTGTTTTAATTCCATTAAAAATATATTTCAGGGTGTTGGTTATTAGTTAATGACGTGTATCTTGTTGGGCGCCCGCTTCTAACACAAAAAGAGGGTGGACTTAATTTATACCATGTCTGCACCTCCATCTCACCCACAGGGGTAAAACAACTCTCGAGCGCACACACACACACGCACGCGCCTCTCGGTTTTTTCTCCTCTCTCTCTTTACTTCCTCCCTGTCTTCCTCGCTCGCGGACAGTGAAAGCTCCGCTGACAGCTCGCGGTAAATCGCGCGCGGAGATTCGGAATATTATAACGGAGCTTTTCGGGCGGAACGTCCTGGACCTTTTCACGCGCATTTAGAGGGGCTATCGAAACCCTGAAGGTAATATTTGGCTTAATTGTGCTATTTTAAGTCATTGAAGTGAGCAGAGAAGTGAGTATGAAAACATTTAGCCTGAACTTGAAATGTCAGTTGTCACAAGAGTGTAATTTGTACGTTTCCTCAGGGTCATTCTCAGCACTGTACGGGTGTAGTTATACTATACTCTGGTACAGCCCTGTAGCTGCCTCATACAGACGCTGTCAGTCCTGAAGAATAGCAGAATAGTCATTTTAAAAAGAGACACCAATGGTTTGCTTTTTTTAAACAGCCGGACCACCAACTTGTGGTTTATGTCAGTAAAACAAACAACAATCTCCTGCAAGTGACAGGCATTTATTTTAGCACATGTCTGGTGCTGGGTTATAATTTTCCTGTTGGACTGCCAGCCTGTAGAATGGTGTGTGTGTGTGTGTGTGTGTGTGTGTGTGTGTGTGTGTGTGTGTGTGTGTGTGTGTGTCTCGAAGCAGATTATGGGTGTTCATTTTCAGCAGTGCAGTTCTTTGTACAAGTACGTACTCCTTCCACTTGCTCACATTTCGTCATGTTACAACCAGAGGATACAATATGGACAAAACAAAAGTTATTCACTTTGTTTTACTGATTAAGATCTGAAAAAGTGCGCTGTTCATATGTGGTCAGTCCCTTGCAAATCTGGAGACCGCAGAAAAGCGAAAGTGTAAAATATTTTTGCAGAAACAGATTGTTTTCTAGGAGTACTTGATTTTTCTAGAAATTCGGATTAACTTTCCTGCCCGATAGTGCATGTTGCTGCAGAATCCATCTTTCTCCTAATTGAAATGTTGTGTTCAGGATAATGTGCAGTGGTTTTCCACCACTGGTAGCATTAATCAGTGAAGCCAGCAAATTGAGGTTTGGTCTCATTCTGTCCCCTATATGGCTCTTGGCAAACAACAACCACGACTTCTTGTGTCTTTCTTTCTGCTACCCTTCCATAAAGGCCAGATTTGTGGAGTGCCCAAACAATACTTTTCAGATTTTTATTTGAGTGGAGCTTTGAAAACACGCTCTTAACTTATTATTATTTTAACCACAAATCAGAGCTGCACGAGCAACCTCCTCAGATAGCTTTTGCAAGGACCCAAGTGCTGGCATCAGGTCAGGCCTGGAGAAAACACACAACAGTTTTCATATAAACAGACTCTAATCACCCTCAATCTTGACCTCAGCTTCACCAGACAGGTTACACCCACAACACCCTTCTCTTATAAAGCCCTGAGGTCTCTAATGAAACTTTGCTTGCTTGCATGCTTTGCAGCCAAACATCTAAAGCCACATCTGAAGCAGTAAGGCGGTTCACACGCTGTCACTCAGCCTTTGGGGGCCTGAGAAAAAGGGAGCCAGACTTGTTTGGTAAAAGGGCAAAAAAGCCTGAGCTACACCTGCCTAGATTTGTCTGAAATGTATGTGTCACTCTGTGTGACTGCGCGCGAACGAACAGGGGGCATCTGAGTTTGTGGCAGGATCAAATGTCTGTCTCAACCACTTTACTGTAATTTGATTAGAATCCGGCGTGTTGTTAGCCAGTCGTGTCCCTGTGAGCGAGATCTGCACTGTAGAACCTCGCAACCTGCCATGCGCATACTTTCTGCAGATTAGAATGAAAACAAATGTATGTATATTTTTACACCTGTGCCCTTTTTTGTGAGTACCTTAAGCCTGATCGCTTTCTTTCAGATGCTGGGTCGCTGGCTGCAGTTGCAGAGCGGTTGTTAGCCATCTGCCGGGGCTAACATGGAGCGAGAGGGCTCCTTTAGGAGGTGAGACCACAAACACTCCTCAATAAACATTCACATTCAGCTTCACCTCAGCTCCCGCTGTCTCTGTCCTCGTGGACGCACAAAGACTCACAATAATGCACATTAATGCAACATGCATTCCTGGATGACCTCATTCATGCTTTCACTCTTCTTCTTCTTCCTTTGTTCGGTGATTAGACTGCAGCCTTCCTGTGCAGAACAGGGGCCAAAAACTCAGATGTGTTTCACTTCCTGCTCACATCAGAGCTCTTTGCCTTTTGCAAATCCAGAAAAAGACACTTTCTTCCCTAGCTCAGATAACATGTCTAGACAGCGAGAGCGACTCTTTGCTTATTTTCGGTCTTGGTATCTATTCTCAAAACTGAAGTGTGCAAAGTCATGGTAGCTGTACGCATGACTTTGAAACATCCTTTTTGAGAAGCTTTGGATAGTTTACCGAGTCTAGACTGTGTCCAAACATGCACACGGCTCCTGTTTCCCACAGTGACCTAATTATGTGGACTAAGATCCAGGTTGTTAGATGGACCAGCAGCACACCTTCTTTCCTTTTAATTCACATGCTTATTCATTCTCTTGCATTTTATGTAGCTTTGTGTAACTTCACCATTTAGTGCCGTTTGTGTCACAAATGTGTGTAGGTGTGTAGCAAGGTAAAAAAAAAAAAAAGGAACTTGCAAGTGTTTTTAATTTAAATATTTCTAAACTCCTGAATTCATCTTTTCTGTAGCTGAGAAAAATTGCTTTAAACGTATTTCAAATAGTTGAGTGGCAGTGCACAGCAACAGCTTCTAACATCAAAACTGACTTGAGTGAAGCAGCTTGAGTCCAGCTTCTTTCTTCTCTGAGCCCTGCTCACAGATGGAGAGAGAGGTAGATGGAGTGAAACGCGTCACCTTTAAACTCTTCCCTCCCTTCTTTGGCAGCCCTGGAACCTCAAAGGGTTGCTTTGTTCGCCCGGCACAAAAGCTCTCATGGTCACATGGCCACCGAGCTGACACAGCCTGGCAAAGGGACAGAGACCCGGAGAGGTAGAGCGGGTCGGGACGAGTAGAGCTGGGAAGTTTTAAAAACTGGAAACGGAGAGTCAGAGGCGCTGCTTCCATCCAGATTAGTGTGACTCACATACATCCAGTCATGGAGTGGGGATATCTGAGACTCTTTTATGTGCTTGAGTAAGTACATGTCATCATGTTTGTGTGAGCAGAAGACGAATTTGTGTTTCTGTTTTTTATTTTCTTTCATTTTTGTAGTTTCTACGTGATCCGAATAAAAAAAAAAGTTTTTCCATTGTCATGCACTGGCTCACACTTTTCAAGCTCCACTTAAGATACTCGACTTTCTTCTTTTTGCACACTCCATGCTTTCTTCTGAACTTCTTGGATAATTTTTCGAAAGGTTTTGATCAATTTGTTTTATTCCTCTGCTTGTCCTTCAAAGCGATGTTCTTTGAGTTTTAAACGAGCTCATCAGCTTGTGTTACCAGTATCAACCATCCTTTAATAACTGCCAAGCCAAAGGTTTTTTAATCGGTTGAACCAACAGAACTGTGCGGGTTTTTTTTTCAAAAGAATTTTCTCAGCACTGTTTGATTTTTCACAGAAAAAACTATTAGCCTTATTGCTGTTAAAGTTGAACAGTTTGGAAGTAGTCGCTTGTCATTATTTCACTAATACAGCATCTAAACAGGGACTCAGCATGATGCTACCACTACCTCCACTTCTCTCAAGCAAATAAATCAATTTCTGCTTCGTCACGGTTTATCCATGGCAACTGTGACAACTTGCAATCTAATCCGTCTAGAACTGTGGCTACTCACGTCCATAAATTTGTCTGTTTTTCGTTTCCTTCCTGCTGGATCTCCAGGAGCCTCCACAACAAACTGCGGCTGGGCACCGGCTCGTCCTCCAGCCTCACCGACCTCTCGCAGGTAAAAAGTTCATCAGGAGGTGGGGAGAAGGCAGGGACAGCTGGGGGGCTGTCAGAGGAGTGTGGGAGGAACAAAGAGACTCAGCAGAGGAGGGCCGGTGCCAACGCCACCTGGAACAGGTCAGCGCATTAGATATTCATCATGTTTACTCTGTTACTTTGACATTTATGAAGCTCTATTTGCATAAAGAGAGAGGGATAAAAGAGGCAAGTGTAGGCAACTAAGCAATATGCATGTATATTGTTTTTATTATTTGGAACATGCTTTTGTTCTCCAACATAAACTGAGAATTGTTGGACCTCAACCTCTAACCTCAAAAAGTTCATGATGCTGGAAACTTTTCAGCCAGGTGTGATTTCCTCAGCAACAGTGTGATGATACTTGAACGGCCTTCAGCTTGCTGTAATTGGTCTAAATAATTTTTTTTTTAATTTGCCATTTGTCTTCAGCATCCACAACGCGGTCATCTCGGTTTTCCAGAAGAAGGACCTGGGAGAAAATGAGCTCTTCACCCTGAATGAAGGCGTCAGGTACAGCCCCCCATCGCACGCACGCTGCACTTCTTTAACGGCGGCCGATTTTCATTTAACATACATTTACTGAATTACACTGCTGTTGCCCTCAACTCTTTATTCAAACATTTGCACATGCATGATAACAGTAGTTGCTCCCACTGAAAAGGAAACACCTTATGATTATTTGATCAGATGGGAACAGACAGGTTAAGGTTACACAGGGGTCACTGCTGTTTACTTTCAGTGTAGCTGAGGGCTGCTTACATCGTGTTGCCAAAACTCTGCGGTGTAAATATTAAAGCACACAAACAGGTTTTCTCTGACAGCATTTACATACAGGTACGCACTAAAGTCAGAGCAACGTCTGTTCTTCTTGGAAACAGCTTGAAATAAGCTTTTTATAAAATTGGAAACTTTAATGTAACATGTTTATAGCAATTACAGTTTTAACATTTGATCTCTTTTCATGCTACCTTTTTATCCCAGTAAAGGAGGGGCCTCAAAGCAGTGCAGTTGGTAGCATCACAAGAAGGTCATGATCCCACAGATCCCAGCCTGTGGTTTTTCTGTATAGAGTTTGCATGTTCTCCCTGGTGACATGTGGGTTTTCTCTGGAATCCTCCCACAGTCCAAAAGGCATGGCTCGGTGTTAATGGATGGCTGGATGTTTAAAAATGAGAAGACTGAACTATAAGCTTCCAGTGTATTTTTCTACTTCGTTACATAACTCAATAACCACTTTTTTAAATAAGTATCTACAGTTCTATTAACAAATTAGCACCATCCTGAATGGCAATAATATTGTTGGTGCCATCAGAAAATCGGATCAGTCAGATCAGTCAAAATCAAATGCCACACATTTGATATTGATTTATAAAATATTTGTATTTTATAAATCAATCAAAAAGTGTTGCTTAAACACTTTTTGTTTAAGCAAAAATGCATCAAACTAGTGGTTTTAAGATGAGAAAATACAAAGCTGTCATGGGTTATGGATGCTTTTGTAAGGCTTTAAAACATGGCCGTAACTATGCCATGTGACAGTTTCAATAAAGATTTTATAGTCTCCAGATATGCAGTGTTTGAACAGCAATTTCACATGTGAGCAGTTTAGCAACCATATTTATCTCTATGAGCCCATGTTCTCCATTTGTCGGGGCTGAACCAGCTCTTTGGGACATCGCCTTAGCTCCTGAACACAAGGTGGACATCTCTCCTAATTTCCTGAGACTTGCTGTTTGAACACAGCAGTTTGCTTTTCCATCTGGTTTGTTTTTAAAATAAGAACCAACCAGTGGTGCGTGTGTGTCTCTTCATGCTTCATAAGCCCTTGTGTATCTGCGTTTTATAGGCAGCTGCTGAAGACCGAGCTGGGCTCCTTCTTCACAGAGTACCTGCAGAATCAGCTCCTCACCAAAGGCATGGTCATACTGAGGGACAAGATTCGCTTCTATGAAGGTGCGCACCACTTCTAGCTGAACATAATGATGTATCGAGCAAAAATAACAGCACTTTCAGCATGCATGTACTTATTTTTTTTTTTAACATTGTAACTGTAAATTGCTGATTAAGTGTATTGAAATGAACTCCCACAACTGTAGACCAAATATTTTATCTTCTGAAAACTTCAAGCCCTTGCAATGCAGTTGGTAGAGTTCAGTGACGGGCATCATGGAACGGATAGATGTCATATCGTCACCTCCACCTTTTGACTGGCGAGTTGTGACATTTACCGATGGCGAGGTTGAATATAAAAAACAACCCACACAAAAAGGGACTTTTAGAATTTGACACATTTTTAGGCTCGCTTTCCAACCTTTAAAGCAAAGGTTTGTTGTTTTCTTTTAATTAATAAAGCTGTCGAGATTTTGATCATTTGCATAACTTCTGGAGAAGTACAGTACAAATACTTATAAAACAGAAAGTCTCCGCCTGAAAGCTCTTTGGAAGTGTTGTCTCCATCATAAGACATCTGTGTCGTCTTGCTTTGATTAACAATATTCACCGTAGCCCTGATTCATTTCAGGGAAACTCCAAGATCACCGTTTTATCTTGTTTGGTCTCTGATAAGGACTGGCAGAGAAAAATAATTATTGACTACAGTGCCAGATGCTGAGTTTACCTCATGAGTTAACCATTAGTTTGAACTGGGAGTGTGTGGCTTTATCTCTCCTTGGCGAATTTAAATGAAGGACATTTTCCGACACAAACACAGAGTTACTTCAAAGACTTTGAAAAGATAGGCGCAACATGAAACAAAAGGCCCTTGTTGCTTCCGTTTCTGGGTAATATGCAGAGTAAATTTGAAGCAGTTTTAAACCAACATAAATCTCATACTCAGAAGAGACCAGCTGTGACAGAGCTCACCACTGTTGGCACAGAAACGTAGGCAGGAAGTGATCCTTTTACGTCAGTACCACATCTAGACGGTGAGAAATTTAGGATAAGTCAAACCACAGAAACCTACAGACCTATTGTTCTGACTAGACCAAAAGTGCCCAAAAGTAAAATTATGTACATAGGAGTGGGAGATACAGTGTCTTGCAAATATGTTCATATCCTTTGAATTTTTCTGCACTTAGTCACTTTGAAACCACGATATTCTGTGTATTTTTGGGGGGGATTTTATGTGATAGAGCAGCACAATGTAGCACACAATCTCAAAGTAGATAATGTAGTGTGCATACAGGGAGAAGAAAGCAGAAAATAATAAAAGCTTAGCATGCAAAAATAATTTTACTTTCTTACTGTGATGCCTAATTCACATTGTTGCACGTTTATCACCTTGGTTCCATTTAAGGTCAGAAGCTGTTGGACTCCTTGGCTGACACGTGGGATTTCTTCTTCTGTGATGTTCTGTCCATGCTGCAGGCCATCTTCTACCCTGTGCAGGTATGCAAATTCTCACACATGCACATGCCCCCTTCTAATGACAGCCTTACTGTTGTAACAGATTTTTTTTAATATATATATATATATTTTTTTATTTTTTATTTTTTGCTTGTTTGAATAGGGAAAGGAGCCTTCAGTGCGTCAACTTGCTCTCCTCCACTTCAGGAACATCATCACCCTCAACCTGAAACTGGATGAGGCATTGTCTCGACCTCGAGCCAGAGTTCCCCCCTCCATCATTCAAATGCTGATGATACTACAGGTATCTTCTTTCCTTGTCTCTTCCACCCCTGCGAAGCCTTATTTTAAAATAAGTTTCAGCTGTGCAAGAAGGAGGAGCAGACTAAATAATACTTTTGAGAAGAAGAGCAGAGGTTAGAGGATGAGGGAGAGTGTTTTTTTTGTTTTGGTTTTTTTTCCAGAGATCTCAGAGGAAGTAATCTCAGTGTGAACACGGAGCGGAGTTGTCTTCCCATGACCATTTAGTCCCCTCTGCACCCTCCCTGCAGGGAATTATCCATGTTTACACTAAAGCAATGACACCCCCACAAAACCAGAACAACTGTCAGCATAAGCCTTAGCTTTTCCGACCTTTGCCTCACATGTATAATATAGGAAAAACATTAAATGAGCTTTGCCTCAAAAGCAGATGAAGTTGCATAATCAAATAAAATGTGCTGTAAATGTTTTGGAAACATTTCTATGGTTAAATGTTACAATTTAAGCCAATTTTATGTTCCTTTTATGTTGTCACAAGTGGCTTACTCTACATTGTATTTGATCTGAACTTGTGGTTTTTCATTGTGGTTTTGCACCCTTAAAGTGCTTTAAAAATATGAGTAAAAGTTCCTCAAACTATTAACTGAATTTAATCTATCTAGTCCTCAGACGAGTGAGGTTGGTGTTCATTGTTGAACAATAAGAGAGTCTGGAACAACAAAAATTTAAAGGCCTGTCTCAGCTCTCCCATTGCTGATGAGACAAAAGTGTATCTTTGTGGAAGGAGTGTGTTCTGTCTCATCTGCTGTTAAAGTAGCTCTGCATTTCAGGAAAAGAACGTTGTGCCTAGTCAAGCAGGTCTTCTGGAGGTCTTTTTTTTGTTTTTGTTTTTACTTACTGAGCCTTTATTCTAAAAACTGAACTATTTGGCCATTCTGTTTTAAGCCTCGAGGGGAACCACCACCCCCTGCTGCTGCTCATTGTCATGCAATGACCAGTACAACTTGTGTTGCATGTTAAAAGATTTGTAACACTGCGACACAGAAGATGGCAGAAAGCTGTTTCTCAGAATAAGGCTAGAAAAGACTGAAGGGAAAGTGAGCTTTGGTGAATTGCATAGGAAAAATTTTCAGTCTTGCTGAAAAATCAGGAAGACTTAAAAAAAAAATGCATTTCTTCAACAAAATTGTAAAGAGGGCCTTTGTCTTTCATGAGGTAAAATGCAACTGGAAATTAGATTTTAGCTTAAAGCTAACGCTAACTATGTGGTTAGTTTGCTGTTAAAATGGTTAAATTTATAGGTTGGTTGCTTCTAGTTAGCTGATAGTTTTCTTCTGGCTGTTTGTAGCATAACACAGTCAGGTTTGATGGTGTTTCTTCAGCAGAAGTGGAGTTTACTGTATCTAGTGACTCAAAAGCAGATACAGTTCTCTGATAAGTCAATTCATTAGTCTCCAGTTGTTCTGGGGACTTTAAAGACATTTGTTACAGCTTCCTTCCTCTGTCATGAACTTTAAAAATGTTTTCTGATGTATAAATAGATTTGGCCTGATGTTCTCTGAAGTGACTACACAAACCCTAATTGATATTCTGCTACTTTTTGAAAATTGTAAGAAAATTGTCACTTTTATTTCTTAATTTTGTCAGCTTTGAGTATTGCAACGTTAAGTCTCACCATTGTGAAATAGTAGTAAGTGTTAAAGTTAAACAAAAAGGTCAGCCCCTGAGGAGGTAATAAATAATTTCCCCCCCTGGTTGCATGAATAATTTTGTTTTTTAAGTTACCGTTTTGCGTTCAACATTGCAAATCCTGCCACGTTCTTCTTTGAGGATCGTTTAGCTGTGGTGGGTTCAACTAATTGGCAACTGAACATGTTTGAGTTTTAAATATTTCCTGTGCTTGTGCTCTCTGTGCATGTATGAGTGTCCGTATCTCTTTGTGTTTGGGTTAACGTGTAGTGACTCATTGACCCAAATCTGCTTCTTCTACGTTCAGATACAGAGGTCACAGGCATCCAGACAGAACGGTAGACTTGCATAGAAAGTCGTGTGTATTTTTGCTTAATCCCTTTTTGTTTTACTCTAAAACCGAGGGACGGAAGAAAGGAAGGAAGGAAAGGGAGAAAAAAATTTAGGTTTAATTGTGGATTTAAGATGTCTTTGCTTCTCCTTGTTCACATCTGATGGTAATTTTCTTTTTATTCTTTAAGACCACATGATGCCAGTTCACTGACGTGTGCTCTACTCATGTGGTTTTGATCTTTGTGGTTTTCAAGCAGCAGCTCAGTGATTCAGAGTATAGAAACTTGATTGATTTTCTCAGGGAGTTCAGTTCTGCAGCGACAGCCTGGTTTAAGTGCAAGACTTTTTGTCCCATTCCTTCAATGGTTTTTATGATTATTGTTGAAATCAGCAACAGAATGAACTTTATATTATCGCTTAACTTTTTGACCAATTTTCTAAGTCCCACAAAATAAATTGTTTAATTCTTTCATTGAGCCAAACATCCAATGTTGATGGATGCAATGTTTCCAGTTAAATCGCAGTGTCTACTTTTCTTCAGAAGAGGGCGCTATACTAATTGAAGTACATTTATTGTGACTAAAAATAAAACCATTAATTATATCATCTCTGGTACATTCATCTTTATCTTTGGTGTTGAAGTTATCTGTTGCTCTTTTTTTTTTAATAAAATGTCTCTGTGATTATGATTGCTGCTGATGCTTTTGTTGTTGTTGTTGTTTTTACTTGATTGACATTGGCTAAATTAAACAAATGTTAAGTTCTGTCAACTCTTCAGTTATGATTTTATTTTTTTTTCCAGGTTTTGTTATAATGATACTAGTCAACTTTATTTAGAAAGGGACAATATACAGCTCAAACATAAATGTCATGTTTTAAACCAAGACCCAAAAGACATTTCTGATGCTTTTTTTTTCTTTTAAGAAGAATGTGCGACACACCAGGAAGTCACATTTCTGTCTTTATTCTTTTACCTCAAAATGTTTTACTGCTTTGTTCATTTTCTGACTTGGCTTTGTGTGTCTTTGACACAGGGAGTCCATGAATCCAAAGGTGTAACAGATGATTACCTTCGTCTGGAGTCTCTCATCCAGAAGGTAGTCTCTCCGTATCTGGGGACTCACGGTTTATACTCCAGAGATGAATCCTCCAATTTGCACTGCTCATCCTGCTTGTTAGGTATTTTTGTGTTTTTCTGCTCTTTTCCACGGCGCTTTATATTCTGTATTACAAAATGTCTTCATTTCCCTCACTCACTGTAGAAAAGAAGCTGCAGTACTCAAGGGCTCCCAAAACACACGGCTCTCCCACTGTGAAGAATCCAGTGGTCCGCTCTAAGAGCTACAACGTTCCCATGCTGACTCCTGTTGTCGAGTATGACATAGACTCATCCTCAGGTGGCAGCACGGGCATCAGACGGCACTCCGTCTGTGAGATGTCATCTTGCGTGGAGGAGAGCAGCTCAATGAATAAATGCGCTGCCAGGATGTCTGATGACACCAGCGTTTCAAACTCCTCCACAGCCTCAACCACCTCTGCTGCACTGACAGGTAAACCAAACAGAAGCTGCCTATTTTTTCTTTATTGTGCTTCCCAGAAGCAGTCACACCTCTTGAACAAACTCCAATATGCTTCATTGGGATGTTATATACCAACACAAAGAACTTCTGTATTGCAAAGGGAAAATTACATGTTTTCCTTTCTCTTCCTCTTCTTTCTTTACGAACAAGAAATCTGAAATGTGTGGCATTCCGTCTGAATACTTTGTAGAACCTCCTGTTGCTGCAATAACAGCTGGAAGTGTTTTGGAGTAGCTTTGGAGATCTAGAGATTTAACAAAACTCGGTATTTTGCAATTCTCTGGAAGTTTGCTCCAGATTAAAGGAGAATAACAACTGAATACTGCTTCACCATGTTTGGTTTTGAGTGAGAAGACTAGAACCAGACGACCTGAGAAGTCTGTAAGGTTGATACAACGGCAACAACATTTTCGTGCTAGCCCATTCAGTGATTTTTATACTATCAAAAATATTTTAAAGTCTGTTAAAATGCAGACTTCAGGAAGGACTTTAGAACTGGGGTAATGTGCTCTATTTTCCCATGTTTAGTGAGAACGCAAGCAGCTGTCTGTGTGACTTTTTAAGCAGACTGCTGCAGTAACCAGTTTGACTAAAGACAAATGCATGGATGAGTTTCCCCAAGATCTTGTTGGGACATTAGCCCTTTAATCTTGGAAATGTTCTTCAGGTGATAGCCTTTAAATGTGTGTCTGATGGTTCAAGTCTGAGTCCATTACTACATCCAGATTTCGGGCCCGATAGCTAGTTTCTAGCTGCTTTATGACCCGACTCTGCTGGAAATTATACAGCAGATGTATGCCTGAACTGTGTTGCTTTGTCCGTTTTTCATTAATGTTCTCTAACATGCCTCTGGGTCCTTCACTCAGTTGCCATATTCGATTTAACTATTTTCACTTTTGCTTTTGAGTGAATAGTTTAGATTTTTTTTTCAGGAGTATCAGAGTAAAGGGAGCTGAATGCAAATGCTTGCCAAGCATTTCGGATTTTAGCTGTGAAAATAGTTGAAAATCCTGTACGGTTTACCTTCCATTATTATGCTACTGTGCATTTTACTATCATATTTTTTGGAAAAGCTTCAAAATATATGAAAACCTTAATGATGAAACACCTATCATTAAGATTTCTCTTTCAGCAGAAACAAAAATAAAAAGCATCTGCTTATAACATAATCTCTATAACTGTTTGTTCAGACACTTTAACGTCCAGTCAAGACCTCCAGCTCCGAGACGATGACAGCCCCTCTATGCTCCACCCTCTCAAACCACAGCAGCCCTCCCCCAGCATCCTCCCTGATCCGTCTCCAGCTGAGGACGCTCATTGTACTGGCTTGCTGGAGTTTGACTCTCCATCGTCCTCCAAGGTTCTTGCACAAGACACGAGCTCCGGTCCCAGTCCGGCGTCCAGCATAGAGATGACGGCAGACCACAACACAGAGTCTCTGGACTCGGAGCAGGAACCAGACGGGATCTTTCTGGACTTCTCGCACCTCTGCTTAGGGGACGCAACCCACAGCAGAGACAGTGACGGGCAGAGCGTCGCCTGACACACACAGGCGCACACAGTTCATTATTTAAAGCGTTAACACTGCTGAGCCGTGAGAGATTTTCCTTGCACTATGTGATGCCCCCAGTAGTTTTTAAAGACTCTACATTATAGAGATTCTTTCAAGCTGAAGTATTTTTCTATGTTGAATCACTAAATATGTCAGGCATTTTTGTCCCTAATGTGATATCACCTTGTTTTATTATATTTAAAATCTGGGTAAAACAAACAAGTGATTATAAAATTTAAACTGTATATTTATTTTTTAAGCAAAAACCTCAAACTATTTTGATAATTGTTTGTAATTCTCTGTGTTTTCAAATGTTAAACTCTTACATCACCACTGTGCCTTTTGCTGGATTAACTGTGTAGATCTGTTCAAAAACTACAGTCTTTTATATATGATCTGTGAGGAATTTTACTGTCTACTGGGTTTCTGTAACTGTCATGTTTCCATAATGTTAGCATCTCTATCAAAGTGTCAATTTAGTCCTTGTTAAAGTAAATATCACTGCAAATTTGTGAAATCAATTTTTCACAATTTGGCTCTTATTTGAAGATAGTCGCAGTTTCTCCCACTTTCCGAGGGATAAGTCCAAGTTTTGGGGGCGCGCCATTAGATTTTTCCGACTGCAAAGTCGGGATTTTCACATTATGACCAAACATGGAACGCTCCATATGACTGTATAAAATCGTTTGTAGCACTGATAAACTAAATGTAACTATATTTAAGTTCATAAATCAGTTTCCTGGGTTTTTAACAAAATTTCATAAAACATTTTAATACAACTTATTATGCTTAAGCCTGTTTGAAAGGAAGTGGAGTCCTTTTATCAGAAAGTATATGTACTTCTGCTTGGTTTTAGAATAAATCACAGCACTAAAATTGTTTTAAACAACCTGCTTGATAATGGCTTTATCTCTATGCTTCCGATAATAAGTTTCAGTTTTCCATTCAGCACATAGACTTGGAGATTTCATTGGACTTTAAATTGTTTAAGTCTCATGTATCTGATTGATTCCACTTTGTGTTAGTTCGCAGCTTATCGCCCACTACTTCCAGAGTCAGTTGTAGTATCACACATGAATATTCACTTGGGTCCCCTCTGTAGCATTCTACACACATTACCAAACACGGATTCATGCAACGAGAAAGAGAATATGGATTAATAAATATAAAAGAAAACCCACTGCATTAAATATGTACTGGAAGATTTATTCTTTTGAAAACAAAAAGAAAAAATCTAGAAAATAACTTAGTTTTTTATGTTTCTGTCTCCCATACTTTTTGTTCTGGACAAAAATGAAAGCAAGTTTCAAGCTTTTTCAGATTCTGTAACATGAACTCACAAATAAATTATCTACTAGAAATGATTGCACTTCTCTTACAAGTTTTGAGTTTCAAGAAAAATGTCCATGTATTTTAACCACGAATTTCATTTTATTGGGTCCTTATTGTCTATGTAAATGTAAAATTGATATTTCTATTTTTCAAAGGCATTTATGATGAATTGTGTTTACAATGAATGTTCCCAAAGAAACAAAAGAGGGGGAATGCAATATGTGGCTTACAAACTTAGTTTATAAAAGAAGGAATCTGTTCAGTTAGAAGAAATAACTTTTTGTGAAAGCACCAAATAGTCCAACTACGCCGTCAGTTTTTCATCAGGAGATTGTTGACTCCACAGTGAAGAGTCTGAAGACCTCTGGAGCCACAGATTGCAGACTCTAGTTCTAGAAATTTGTCATTCAGCTGGATGAATTAAAAGTTGGGACATTTGGCCAAAAATGCACCTTCAGGACCTGGACACCTTGCAGATACAGACTCTGTGGTCTTTGCAAACTCATGCATTCTATATAGGGGGTCTTATTTGTCACAGCTAAAAGAAAAGTCAATATTAGAACAGGCAGAACTACTTCAAGTACAACAAAAACATAACGTAGCAAATGTGAAAAGAGACAGTGTCCCAAGACATTAGTGGCAACTGGTGATAAAACACAGCTTATGAATACTCTTTTATTTTCCATTACCTCGGGGCATTCAGTTTGTAGACTACTGTAAATAGGATGTATTTTAATGTATCTCACTTTTTATGAATCCAATTCTGTCATATCAAAGTACCATTCGTATAGAAGACTTTAGACTTTAGAGATTACATTTTGCTACTATCGTTATGTTTAAAGTAATTGTGTTTACATTTATCCGCATTAATTAGGCACAACAAATCTATTATTACTTGTCTTAAAAAGTTATTTATATTTTCACTCATTTATTTTGATTTTGGAGTGATAGAATCCTTTTCCTTTTGCATGCCTCGTTTTAAGCTTAGACGGCCACTGGGGGGCGTTAGTTGTCGCTCTCTGGTCCATTGTTTCTGTTCTGCACCCGCGGTGGGGACCGCTTTACTGGAAAATGGCGGACGGTGTGGACCATATCGACATCTACGCCGACGTCGAGGAGGAATTTAGCCAGGTATTTAGGCTTAAATTACTCAGGTTATGGGACATTAGGCCCATAGGGACAACGTATTTTGTGCTTGGCAGCGGTGTTTTGACGCTACTCTCGTCGAATTATTGTCGAAATAGCTTGTCTCCTAACTAGGCCTCTTTCGCCATGCTGCAAGCCTGCAGCTCAGCTTCAATAATTCGTCATCTGAAATATAAAGTGATCGATTTCAATATGTATTTTTGCATGTGTATTAATGTGCAACAAAATCTTACTGTTTTATCATAAACACTTTGGAGTGTAGTGTATATTATTGGTTTTATCGTGCAGCGCATATAGGCCTCGGCATGGTTCCCGCGACTAAAGCTAAGACGAGCCAAACAAACGCAGTTTCCTTACCTAGCTTCGCACTATTTTCAAGCGAGTTGTTTAGTAGCGCTGTAGTTTTTTTATTTTTTATTTAAAGCTAAATAAATATATTCTTCTGAGAATAATTCTACAAAACACTACACTTATATTGAGTGAAAATACATCTGGCTGTAGCTAAGTGCTATTAGCATATCTACGTTTCCTTTTATACACACACACACGCCCCTTTTGTTTACTTCTGTGGTTCATGAAGAGACACCATTAGTTTTATCTAGGAAGTCAGTCATTCGCAGATATGGGTTATCTACAAAATTTTTTGTCTGTTGAAAAAAATGTTTTTAAAATCGTGTGTTTTCTGCGAATTAGTAAAATTAAGGTTAGCCATTGTGTGAATTAGATACGTCGGGGTCTGCTGTACATTCGCGCGGTTTAAAACGAAACAGTGGGACCTTTTTTGACCATTTAAGCTAAATTATTCTTATGAGGAAAATGCTTATTTTGTGTGCGTGTGTGTGTTTTTTTTTTTAGAGATAATACAATGGGGTTTTGCTGTTCTTTTAACATTTTTATTCTAGCTGCTAATTTTGTTATTGATTTCTACTTTTTGGTATAACTCTTATATTGGTGTTAGAGTCCATCCTTTGGAGGCCACTATCTAGCAGCATGTGGATTTCAGTACACCTGAATTAGATGACAGAATTACCCCCTCATTCTGTGCTATTAATGGCCCAATTATGTGATTCAGCTGTGTTGATGCAGAGACTCCTATAAAAGTAAATTCATTTTGGGATAAACGATTGCTTCTTTCCAAGTTGGAGAAATAAGTGAAGGAGAAAAAAAAATCTGTATATTTTTTTGTGTGGGTGTTTGTCCCTTTGCTCCTTTTCTGTTTAAGTCAGATTTGTTTGGTTAAAAATAGCCGTCTCTCATTGGACATTTAGGCCAACTATAGATTGATCTGTGCCCCACTTTGGGAATGTTTCCTGCCTGATTATAACAGTATTTAATTCTAAAGTAATCAATTTGCTGCCAGAAAAAGTGGCTTTTGTTATTTCTGTGAATTGACTGTTTAAGTTTGAGCTGGTATGGCTTAATTGCTCCCCGTGTTTGTATTCATCCAATGATGCTTTCTGACAGGAACCGGAGTACCCTCCTCATGAGCAGATCGACTTGTACGATGATGTAATATCCCCGTCAGCCAATAACGGAGATGCTCCGGAAGACCGCGACTACCTGGACTCGCTCCCCGCCCCGGGGGGCTCCGAAGGGGGGAAGAGCGCCCCGCCCAATGTGGTTTACACCTACACAGGCAAAAGGATTGCCCTGTACATAGGAAACCTCACATGGGTGAGAACCAATTACAGCTCAGATTTGTGTCGAACCTCCAAACGTTGGATTTGTGTTTTGAATGAGTCTCTTGTTTCGCAGTGGACGACAGACGAAGACCTGACAGAAGCTATTCGGTCAATAGGCATCTCAGATGTGCTTGAGATCAAGTTCTTTGAAAACCGAGCCAATGGCCAGTCTAAAGGGTGAGCTTGTTGGTGTCTGCTGGTGGATACGCGACATGTCATTAGCAGTACCTTGAATCGTAGACAGCCTTGTACTCCAGTCTTTTAAGAAACAATTTTTCCAGGCGGTATAAGTGCACGTCCTCTTCTAAATGTTCCAGGTTTGCCCTCGTGTGCGTCGGTTCCGAGGCATCGTCCAGAAAGTTAATGGACCTGTTGTCCAAGAGGGAGCTCCATGGACAGAATCCCATCGTCACGCCGTGCAACAAACAATCTCTGAGTCAGTTTGAGATGCAGTCGCGTAAAAGTAAGTTGGCCATCCATTCTTTTGGCACGGCTTTCTTAATTTTTTCTTTATTTTCTTTATTTATTTTTTTTAATTTGTTTTAGGTTTTGTAAAATAATCCTCAATTTGTTTATGAAGTCAATTGGGACGAGCAAATAGAAATATGTGGGTTTGTTTTTATCTTCTCTGATTCCGCAGGTACCCAGTCGGGCCAGATGTCTGGGGAAGGCAAAGCCGGGCCTCCAGGCTCCGGCTCCCGTGGCGGATTCCCGATGGGCAGCCGCAGCAAAGGCAGGTTCCCTGGACCCCCTGGTCCTGGAAATGACCGTTTCCCCGGCCCCGTGGGGCCCGGAGGCCCGCCGCCACACTTCCCAGGTTGGTTTGTCGGCACATTTTGAGGGAAATGCTAGAGGTGGTGTCGGGTGTCGAAAACGCCTTATTACTCGCGTTTTACTTTATGTAGGTTTTTTTTTTTTTTTTTTTTTTTTTTTTTTTAAAAAAAAAAAAAAAAAAATTAAAATTTTGCAGTCAGTCCAAAAGATTCTGATTAGGTTGGCTTTATATCACAAGGTTCTGCTCAACAAACGTTCTGTTACTCAGACTTGCATGGACTCAAAGCCACCCATGTGCAGTTTTAGAGTTTTAATTTGTATCGCCAGGATTGTGTTTGTGCTTTTCTTAATTTAGATTGTTCTTTGTCTGTCCCACTCTGCCTCCAGTTCAACTTTTCCTGGCTGCAGTCCTTCGCTCGCTGATAGATTCCAGCTCCATCTCTTAACTAGCTGTTTGCTTAAAGCTTAACTTGGCGTCTTTTAGCTCTGCACAACTCTTGTGTTGCCTGCGTAATGCAAGAAGCAGAAGACATTACTGTAGCCCCCCCTTTTTTTTTTTTTTTCCTCTCCCCTCCTCTCTCCATGCAATCCTTTTCATGCCTCATCTATTGCTTATTAACTGTTGCCCCCTCCCCCACTGGGCTGCGTCAGGCCTTCAGCTCGGAGCCAGAAGTTCATGAAGGGAAGAGTGATGGTTGGTTTGCTTTCTTCCCCATTAGGCTCGGGAATGAGACCAGATCTGGTTAGCCACCATGATGGCCCTCTGATGGAAATGAATTTCAATCCCTTCCCGCCGGGGGGCAGGAACGGGAGCTGGCATAGCAGAGGTGAAACACCTCGATTGATCTGAATAATTTGATCAGTTATCTTTCTTCTCTGAAGACATAGAAGCTTGGTGATGGACCTGTGGTACAAATTGTGTCCGGTTGATGATCTTATTCAAGGTTCAGTTTACCAACTACACTCCCAACATACCAGTGCCTTACAAAAGAGTTTGGATCATTTCAACTTGGCCACATTTTGTTGCAACTACAAACCTCGGTGTATTTTGTCTGATAAACATAAAGCACCACTTAGTTGTGAAGTGAACTGAAATGGATGCATGGATAAATGTTTCCAGCCTCTTCACAGATAAAAACTTTGAAAACTGATGAGACAATAGTATGTAGAACCAGCAGAGTGTCTATTTTCACAAGTTTGTCGTGTCCCTTCCTTTTCTCCTTGCAAACTTTAATCGACCAAAGATGGGTTTTGTCAATTAAATGACTTCCGAAGGCATTTGGTGCTAAATTTAAATATCATATTTTTACTTTGAGGAGAAAGGACAAAAAAAAAAAAAAGGTCTTTCCGCTTCACATAATGCATTGAAGTTTGTGGTTGTGTCGTAACACACTGAGGAAGTTTACATGCTATTAGTACTTTTGTAAGGC